ACTGCGAGCAACCACAGCAAGGACGCACCGAGTTGACCAAGCATGTCGGCCACATCCTCTCTATTGACAATGCCGTCGCAATCTCGATCCAAAATCTGAAATCCATCTCTCAGAGTCCTAACCTGAGTAGGCTGAAGCTGCGAGAGAGCACTACTGCCGCCCAGAGAGCCGCCCACCGCTAGCTTTGACCCGGCCTTCCACGAAGGTGGTGAAGCCCTTGTGGGAGTGGTCATGCCTGGAGTCTTGTCTCTCTCCGTGGTCTCGGGGATGTCGTCGTCGGTGGCGGTCGGTGTCGTTGGTCTCGCGAGCCTCGACGTTCTGCTGGGCGTGGTCGCGGCGGTTTTGGTAGGCGAGCCCGTTGGTGTTGTCTGTCGGAGTGGTGAAGGCGATGCAGGCGGGTCGGCCCGGCGGAATGGAGAGTTTCGAACGCTGGGAGGCGATCCGTAACCCAGGGGAGAGGGCTTGAACGTTGTTGACAAAGACTGGGAACAGCAGAGAGTGATTAGCAGATAAGCGAAACGGCGATGTACGGGGCTGCACCGTAATAATACGCACCATGATGCAGATGGTAGGGGATCTGTGCTGGAACGGTGTCCGCAATCGGTTGGCCAGCGAGCAGCAAGCGGAGACTGTCGATTGTACGGTACGAGTACAGGTGCAGTATGTACAGTAGGTATGACGCACGATTTGCTGATCGCGTGAGGGTGGTGCAGAATGCAGATAATCTGGAATGCTTGGCCAGAGATATGCAGTCAGTCAGTGGTCTGGCTCTGTCTTGTCGGCGGGGGGGGGGTTGATGCACAATTGCGTCTGGATTCTAGATCATGGCCCCCAAAGTAAACAAAGTAAGTTGTCTGACCCGACAACCCAATGGTGTGTGGCTGGTGCAAGCGTGCGGGTGTGGCGCGGCCTGCGAAACGCCAATCTCAGCCACCGACCAATTGTTTCTCTTTAGGCGCCGATAAGTTACTGGATCCATAGAGGATAAAGGATAACGCAGCAGCCACCACCAAAATGAGGCGCCTAGCCCCCCCCAAATCATTAGCGCTGTGAAGCAGCTCGCGCTGTAACTGTAACGGGACCCTGACACTAGTAGCACAGTCAATACGGAGAGTTCCACAATGGCACAACGCCCCTGTCTCGACTTTGTCCCACGAGAGCCTGAACTCGTCGCAAGCGCAGCAGACGATGCCTGGTTCAAGCACCGGTCCATTGGCCTCACCATCTGCTGCCTGCTGCCGGCCTCTCTGCTCGCGAGCGTAGCCGTGACATCTTCTGCCAGGCGGAATAGCGTCAAGTCGACATCACCAACAGCGTCCTGGCAGAACCGGCCGAGATAGAACCAGACCAGACCGCTCGAGCCACAGAGCAGTCCCTGAGCTGTTCTGTTCCCGTGCAACAGCGAGGCTGCAAAGCTGTGCCTGCGTCGAATCCGCTCCGATCGAGGCCATACTTGATCTACAAGATCCGGAGGCAACCTGGAACATACACTCTTGGTGCAACGACACCTCAAGCATATATATATGCTCGTATATCCCCAGGTGGGCTACCTAGTATATCGACTTCTAGTATCCTACCCTACCTATACCTTACATTAAATTGCATTGGCCTGCGGGGAGGCTTTTGAACAATGGCCGCCGCTCTCCCCTACGCCTCGCGCTCGAATGGCGCCAGCAGCTCCAACGTTTCGCTGCCTCACCATCGTCGAACCTCTCTTTCTTCGTTTCCCCCGTCACGATCTCCGTCGCAAAGGTCCTTCCATTCTCGCCCGTCAAGGTCACCGCACCCGCCCATGGCCGAAACCGACCGCACTTCGGACCCGAGCTCCAAGTCCAAGGCCTCGTCCATCGGACCGTCTTCGCAACATTCGTCTCTATCGGCAGTGCGTCGAACCAACGAGGATTCACAGCCGCAGAGGAAACTCCGAGCTCAGTATCCTCGCGGATCCGACGCCAACCATGTCGAATATATCCTGGTGGCGTCGTTTGATATCGACCGCGGCCCGGTTATGGAACACCAGTACCCTGTTGCCATTACCGGAGACGAGAACATGTTGGCCGAGTTGATGCTTCCAGATCAGGCCCACGCGCGTAACCAGGATTGGACCATGTTTTTCCTGCACAAGGACTCTTCGCCGGAAGATGAAGATGAAGAACGCAAGGCAAAGGCTAGGAGGAAAGCTCGGAGGCAGAGACGGCGAGATAAAGCGGCGGGGCTGGTCCCTGAGGATGGAGCAGAGGGCGGGGCTGGCGATGAAGAAGACGACGACGACGAGGAAGACGAGGATGACCTGGATGAAGACTGGGACGAAGACGAATCTTCAGATGATGAGCCCGACGACGGGCTAGAAGGCCCGCCGCTCATCTACGTCCTCAACCTGGTCAATACCAAGCACAACAAGTCTGTGAAACGCGGAGCCATCGTCAAGGCCATGGCAATCTGTACAAGACACCCCTTCTTGCATATATACAAGGTACGCGGTTTGACAGCTGAGCTTGCTGATATACCCTTTTGTATCTGATTGCATAGACTAACGGTTCGTGATTCTTATTCAGCCGCTTTTACTCCTCGCACTGGAAGAGTACTTCAAGTCGCCAGTGCCCGAGACTCTTTCCATGTTGTACGAATCGGTCAATGCGATGGATTTGTCCCTTATGCCTAGATTGAGCTTGCTGGAGAGGAACCTGCTGCTGGCGAGCGACAACAAGGATCTGTTTGTGGAAAAATTCGAGCGCATTATCCAGATGCGCATGGCAGAAGACAGGGCAGAGACCGCTACTGAGGGGTCCGGAGAGAGGAGCCAGAGCCCGCAATTCAATGCCGGCATCTCGAGGGCTGGCACCAAGGCGCACGTCGAGGGCGGCGGGCAGTCGACGTATTCTGTGGCCCGAGATACTCACGAGTTTGAGAGCAAAGTCATGTACAAGGGCATCCCAATCCCCATCAAGGTGCCCACCGCGGTCATGCCCGAGACTGTGGGGGACTTTTCTCTCATCAAGTTGATACAAAACTTTTCCGAGGCCCATGCCAAGTCGCCGCAGCCGTTCCCGCTGCACCCACATCTGACGACCAACGGGGTCAACACGCACCCAATCATTGTGCTGATGAACGGACTCCTCACGCAGAAGAGAATCATCTTCTTGGGCCACAACATGCCCTCTGGTGACGTAGCCGAGGCAGTGCTTGCGGCATGTGCTCTCGTGTCTGGCGGCATTTTACGGGGGTTTACCAGGCATGCGTTTCCCTACACCGACTTGACCAAGGTCGATGATCTGCTCAACGTGCCGGGGTTCATAGCCGGCGTTACCAACCCTACGTTTGAGCTCCATCCGGAATGGTGGGACGTCCTGTGCGACTTGCCCAGCGGCCGCGTCAAGATCAGTAGCAAGATTGAGATGGCACCGGTGACTGAAGGGCTGATTTACTTTCAGCAGCAGCACCCCAACCTCTCCAACACGGCCAGCGGCGTCTCCAACAACGCGCAGGACTTGACGGGGGACGCGGCCTTTATGTCAGATATCCTTAGGAGCATTGCTGCCAGGCACGGCGAGCGGGTCATACGAGCAAAGTGGCGCGGCTGGGTCAATAAGTTTACGAGAATTGCTGCCCAGTTTGAAGAGAGCGTATACAACGCATCTGCTCTGTACATTGGAGGTCAAGATCAAGATTTGGCACTGCCGGGGGCCAACGGTCATGGATATGTTTGGGCAGACGACACTGCAAAGTTCAAGGAGCTGGCCGGCAACGTGACGAGGATTGAAGGGTGGCGCAACACACGCAGTTACTACAGCTACATCCAGGTAAGGGCTATTCGTTTCGTTCTATCGTATCGTGGGACGGGGATTGGCTAACGAGAGCAAACTCCATACAGGATCTCGCAAGAATATACACCTTCCGCCCGCTCAAGGGGTTGGACCTGGCCCACATGCACGACCGTCTTCGCATGCAGCGCCTGACACCGGCACAGAGCAAGGATATTTATTTGACGCTGTCCAAGCATATCCACTCGTATGAAGAGATTTGCCTGCTGCTGGATGTGGCACCCGAATCGCACGCTGGGCTCTTTTACATTGCGCTTGGCCTCTTCCACAAGGATCGCGAGGTGCGTCTAAGAACGGCTGATCTGCTGGAGCGAATTTCCGAGCACGAGGCCGGGCAGCACTGGTGGAAGAGCCTCAGCCAGTTTGAGAAGCTGGCGTACAAGCGAATCCGGCGCGAGACTGAAGCAGAGATGAAGACGAAGGGGGAGAAGGACGGGCTGGTTCTCAGTCCTGTTATGGAGAAGTTGATGAGCTGAGAGGCTCAATGAAATATAATAACAAAGAAAAAAGGAAAAAGAGACAAAAAAGAGAGGGAGATTGTGGTCAACTTATATGGGATACACACGATGGCGCGCCTACTTGTGGCCTGCCTAGTGAGTATATTTTATGCCGGCGAGCAATGACGGGAGAGCTGTGCGGCGTACGTACTACGATTCGCCGTACTATAGGTATGAGTGTCTACGATGTTATTATTATCGTCATGTGTTTGGGCGGGCGTTGTCGAGGCAAAGCGAAAAGCAAATCGACATGGTTATGATATGGTGGGACCTTCCCCCCCTTGTCCAGTCGGACCTTGGAAGGCCTCCTTGTTTGGGAGTATTTCTTGCTGGTCTTTTTTCTTTCTTCCTGCTTAATATTTTGCTCTAGTGCCAGAGGATATAGAAGAGACATATACGAGATAGGTAATTACAAATGTTTGGGGGGCTGTACACTTCCTCTTGTTGAGGGCTAGGAATACCTTGTACTTTGTCCCCTTCTTTTCTTGTAATCCGATTCAATCTTTTCGGATACTATACAGCATGCATTTGAGTATTTAGCAGCGGGATTTGGCTGCTTCTTGAAGCTCGTCGTCTCATCATGTCGTTGTCCCTTTTCACTGGCATCATGCTGTGTAGGTAGTTTCTCCAGACATTCCCCCTTTCACATATGCCATTCATATATGTACAAAGGACCAATCAATTACAACAAACCCAGCTGCTTGGCATGGTGCTTAATATGGTCCTCGCCAAAGGTTGAGATGAAAAAGTATGAGTGATCATAACCCTGTGAGAGAAGAATCGTGTAAGTCAGCATACACTCAAGATGAGGTTTACCGTAATGAAGTTGAAAAAAAAACATACGTCTTGATATCGTAGTTGCAGGCCCTCGATGCCCGCCGCCTTGGTAGCCTCCGCAAAGTTCTCAGGCAGAAGCTGTCTCTGCTTGTAAAAGTTGTCCGCAGTGCCCTAGCAGTGAATTTCTCAGCAACTTCTTCTTCTCTTTCTCTTCATTCTCAACATACCACGTCGAGCAGAGCATTCAAATGTCCCTTCCAGTGCTTCACCAGCTCCGTCGCATCATGCTTCTTCCACTCCTCCTTGTCGGCCCCCAAATACCCCGTAAAGGCCTTCTCCCCCCACGGACACGCACTCGGGTTCGATATGGGCGAGAATGCGCTGACGCTCTGATACTTGCCGGGATTCTTCAGAAACAGCGTCAAAGCCCCGTGGCCGCCCATAGAGTGGCCCGCAATAGACACGCGCTGCGGATCCAGCTGCTTGAACTGCGAAAAGACGAGCTCGGGCAGCTCCTTGGTGATGTACGTCTCCATCTTGTAGTTTTGCGCCCACGGCTCCTGGGTGGCGTCAATGTAAAAGGACGCAGCGCTGCCAAAGTCCCAGGACTCGTGCTCGCCGGGGTGATTCGTGCCGCGGGGCGACGTGTCGGGATACAGCAGCGCGAGCTTGAGCGGCGCGGCGTGGGCGTGCAGGAAGCCCTTCTCGGTGACGTTGTCCGGGGTGCAGGTCAGGCCGGAGAGGTAGATGAGCAGCGGCGCGGGCGCGGACTCGGAGATGCCGGTGGGTAAGAAGAGGGTGAAGTTCATGGGGCCGCCGGTGACGGACGACTGGTGGGTGAGCTTGAGGAAGCGGCCGCCAAAGGAGGCGATGGAGGCGTTGGTGGTGATGCTCGCCATGGTGTTTTGGACACAACTTGATATCGACAGCTACAAGGTTAATGGACAAGGATGTTACGATTATATGAGAAGAAGAAATGAAGAATATTGAGAAGAAGAAGAAGAAGAAGAAGAAGAATAAAAGAAGAAGAAGAAGCACAAGCTACTCATTAATACTATTTAGTATCATCGACAACCCTTGATCCGTATTTACCCCACCACCAGAACCTGCCAAAACACCCCTCCGAAAGCTCTCTATTTCCATCATCATGACGCCCGAACTATGTCCGAAAGCAGCAATTCATTAAGGTATCGGGTAATAGTATAAACGCCCATTCCCAAGCACCAAACAGAAGGAAAAATAAAAATATCAAAATAAAACAGCCGTCTCTCGTCTAAACGTCGCAGACATTGCACCATTCCTGGTTTGATGTCAATATGTATCCTGGTGTAGGCTTTTTTAGCTGATGGAGGGGCAGTTGTCAGTTCTCTGAGCTTTTGATGGATGAGACTGATCCCCATTAGTTGGTACAACTCGCTGCATTAAACAAACAAGATGCGATCCTCCGTCACTTCATTAAGATTTTCGTCTTTTCCCCTTTTTATTCGGTTGAAGTTGTCGTCTTCTTCAGCGAACAGTCAAAGCTGGAGATCAAGATGTTCCACTGAATGGCCCCCAGATTGAACTTGTTCTTGTAGTTAAAGTCGACGCTGCCAAAGGTACACCCCGTCGGGCTGGTGCAAATAGAGCCGCAGTTGCCAATGCGAGGGAAGCACTCAAAGTCCTCGCCGTCGGGAGCAAACGTGCTGGTGTTTTGGTGGAAAGGCGCGGGAAGCTGGTGGCACGTCTCGAGCGCGTAGACGCCGTAGTTGCAGGTGCCAGTTGCGTTGGCGCCGGTGCACAAGAGGACCTGTGAGGGATTGACCCGTCAGTTTAGAGACGATGTCGATTGAGACGAGTGATGATGGGAATGGAGAAGATGCAAGGGAGGGGGAGAGGGAGAGGGAGAGGAGGAGAGGAAGACATACGCCGCCAATCTCGCGCTTGTGGATGGGAGTGCCGGAGACGGCAACGGCTGAGGAGACAGCAGCGGTGACGATGGTTGTGAACTTCATTTTTGGAAAAGATATAATGATTATGATGATTATGATGAGTATGATGTAGAGGTAAAATTGTCTTTGAAGTTGAGCTGTTCCCAAGAAAAGGTAGCAATGCTGGAATGGAGTTGAAAGTATGGAAGGATTCAAAAAGCCACAGCTTGTCTTATAGGTCGGTAGGTTGCGGTGAGATGTGCATGTTTGTCTCGATTTCTCGTGCAACTAACCTACCCATTTTATATACAAGCAGCTCCCATAGCACAAGACTCGACCCATCCATCGTGTCTCCTTGCCTCCTCGCATTCGCTGACCGACGTAATGCAGCCGCCATTTTCCCTCCTTCTCCCCTCCTTACTCTCTCTGTTGCCCCCCGTAACCTTGCAACAAGATTCTGACGGACGTCTGTTCCCCGTATTGCCTCCGCCAGCAGCACAGGCCCCCCCTTAAGCAGCCACCCGAAGAGTGCCTAGAGGTGAGAATAAAGGATCCATCAATCCAGTCTCTTTGTGATGTGTTGGGTAATCCGCAGTGCACATGCCCTTCGTACGGTCCCCTAAAATGGCGGCCCGAACAGGAAAGGTCGTGAGACATACGAGAAGCCATGTGTCGATCCCTCTTCTGTTTGTCGTGACTCGACGTCATGCAAGTGGCTTGGCCGACGACACAAGAGCCGATCACGGTGAGGATTTTGTCGAGGGAATACGAGGGACGGCGTTGGTCGGGAATTGTCTTGTGCATCGGCTCTTGATATGGTAGCTACGGGATTTACATATGGCACATGGCACATGGCAGCAAACTCGCCTGTTGGAGCAAATGTCCATTGCAACATCATCTTCCCTCTGTACGGACAATAGGTAATCAAAAATAGCCCTTCCCTTACACAGCCAGTCGGCAAACAACAGGGTGAGGAGGGCATTAACTCGTATCTGCATGCAGGAACGGCACTTTGCCAACGGCCTTTTATTCTCCGCTGCCGGCTGTTGAGTAACACGGGATGAAACCTCAGCAAGCCGCAGCTCATGGATAAAACGTAGAGAGTTTGCAGTACATGTTGTATATAAATGAATTGATGACATTCAGAAGGCAGTATTTTTCTACGTGTTCTTTCAAAATGCAACAACAAACACTTTTTCTCGGGGTCCTAATCGACCTGCCCTTATGATGTCACAGCTCAGCTATTTTTAGTGAGCAATATGGAGAGAGGGAGCGCTAAACTTGGCCCGGGGCTAGCTTCCACTGCGGCTACCGATGGCCCGGCTGCATATTTGTGACGGTCGGGTCTTTTTTTTTTGCTGTAACAGTTCAATGTCACATGCAACGTAACAGCCGTGATAATGGAAACAATGATGCCCCATTCATTTGTGAACGTAATTTTGGGAGCATAACTGTCTAAATCAAGCATTAGGTACCTCGATATACGTACCGGTTTACTCTTCGCTTACTGCGGAGCAATTGGTGTTTGGATTGACAGCTTCAACTGTGGGCAGATGCTCTCATCATCACCATCACCGTGGCATGCAAATCATTCTGTAGCAAGAAAGTAATTCCATTGGTATTTTTTTTTTTTTTTAAAAAAAGATCTCTTGATAATCTATTACTGTATTGACATACTTTGCAGTCATCCGTATAAAATAGCCTTTTACCATGTATTGCCAAATCAGTTTGTACAGGCTAGGACTTGCAACTCAAGTCTAAGCGCTCTAGGCCTCCCACGTTGCTCCCATAAAATTCGTACCATCTCTCGGTGCAACATTTCGATCACCTTGGACAGAGGCTCTCAATGTGATTGAACACACCAGAGAGAAAGATTGGTGGCCAGAGACGCATCTGATCCTTAGCTGAGATCAGTTCGGGTGCCACACCAAAGGCGGAGTGGCACAGGGTCGGGTCAAACATGTTGTCTTTATATCCTAGCCGAGAGCTGAAATTATCGAATCTCGAAACGCCACGCTGATGAACAAGTTCCTCCTCTCGACAAGATGAAGAAGGGCCAATGCAATACAGCTTCGTATTCCTTGAAACTCTCCTCTGTCAGAATGAAAAGAGTTGGCGTGAATCGGGTGCCGTCATCTTCGCCCGACTTCGTCTTTGCCAGGCTAAGTTTCGTCTACTGAAGAAGCTCTTCGCAGGTCCAGTCCTCGTAGCTGAAGAGGAGTCAGCCCACCACATGCTCGTCTCCTTGGCCAGATTAGAGTCCAACTTACTATCCGTCGGGCATATATCTTCTCACGATGAGAGGGATCTTCTTCTCGCGTAGCTCCTTGATCGCAATCTGTAAAGGATCCGTCTCACCCTCGAGGTCTACCAACACCGGCGCGTTCATGCTGTACCAATCAGTTAGCACATCTATATGCTGCCCTCCCAGTCTCACAATGCCAACCTAATCTGCAAGGCGCGCGTCCCCAGGATACGCGCTCTCTCATATTTTGTCATGTATGGTGTTGTCGTGCGCTGGTCGTCGGGAATCTTCTTGTCCTTGACGGACTTGTCTTTGGACGCATTCGCAGCCGCAGAGGGGTCTCCAGAAATGACAACGTTGTCCTGGTCGTCGCCGTTTGCGTGCTCGCCATCTTCATCATCGTGAACTTCGGGTTCGTAGAATTCGCCAGCCTCATCCTCTTCCAACACGGGCTCATCACTGTGCACCAGGGGGTCAGCGTTCCGTTCAACAGCCCTCTTGTTTTTGGTCTTTGCACTCCTGCTCAGGCGCGAGGCTGCACTTACCCGCCAACGCTAACGTCGTCATCACCGAAATCAGACATTTTGAAGAAGCTGGATGTGTGAAGAGTCTGGGCGCGAGGTAGGAGGATTCGTTGCTGGCCGTTCAATCTTCAGCCTCGCGAAAAATATTATTCCAACCGCAGTCTCAAAGTTTTTCCGTAGCTTCCCCGGCCGGAGCTTGACGAGTCTCCACTTGGCGCTCTTCTTGCTGGGGCAGGTCCGCTGCACTAAGCGTGACTGCAGCGTTTTCTTATCTTATCGTCCCGTGACCCACATAAAAAGTTCCCAATTTCTGCCATTGTCGATGCTCGACGACATGTCACAGATTTGCAGCAATTTGCAGCAATTGACCGGTCATCATCATCATGGGCAAACGGGTTGCTACGGAGGAGGCGCCTCGTGCGTCTCCAGCAAAGAGGATGAATCTTCGTGGCATTCAAGTCTCTTGTACGTCATCAATTCTCCCAAGAATCTGATACTGAATTGGACTGATATTGACATTGCGAGTAGATGCCTTTGACGATGACGATGAGGATTATGCCCCAAGTGAAAGCCCAAGATTGTCAGAAAGCCCAGAATTCTCAGAAAGCCCAGAAAGCCCAGATTCAAGTGCAGAGGTCGAGTCAACCGTCACTGCTGCGACAACTCCCCGCACGAAATTTCCATCAGATTATAAGACATTGGCCTGCTCCTGGCCAGGATGCACAAAGAGTTTCAACCGTCCGGCTCGATTGAGAGACCATATGAACTCTCATACCAACTCACGACCTCATAAATGCCCCTACGATGACTGCGACAAAGACTACATCGAAGATAAGCATCTGAAACAGCACATCAAGGCCGTTCATACAAATGACCGCAAATACGTCTGCCAGAGAGAGGGCTGCGGAAAGACCTTTGTAACAGGCACGAGGCTAAAGCGTCATCAGCTAGTCCACGAGGGAGCAGATAGATTCCGTTGTCAAGACTGCGGCCAAAGCTTCAGAAAGAGAGAGACACTCCACAAGCATGTACGGAAGGAGCACCAAGGCTTACCACCACATCAATGCCCAGAGCCGACATGCTCAGCGGCCTTCGACTCCAAGGGATCGCTCAATCGGCATCGGGAGAGGGAGCACGGCCCGCTCAAGTATTGGTGCATGGAGTGCCCGCCTCAAATGCGAGAAGACGGCACCATGCACCGAGTGGGATTTACAACAGATCCACAACTGCAGTCGCATATGCGCCAAGAGCATCAAAACTGCATGTTCTGCGATTACAAGTCAAGCTCGCTATGGGAGCTGGAAACGCACATCGAAATTCACCATTCCGGAAAGACGGTCCAGGACCGCAAGACAGTGGCCTGCCCTCACGCTGGCTGCGACAAGAAATTCACAAAGAAGTCGAACCTCAACGTCCACATTCGCACAGCACACGAAGGATTCCGCTTCGTCTGTGGCGAGGTCGACCTGAGCGGCCCGGGCCTCGAAGCCTGGACCAACGATCAAGGCTGCGGCGATAAATTCAGCACCAAGGTCCGATTGGAAGACCACATTCGCTTCATTCATTTAGGTCAAGAGCGGCCCAAGCTTACCAAGACGGATAAGTCTGCTCCAATGGACCTCATTGACGAGATATCCGGGGTTACAAACGTCAAGAAACAGACCATCCGCTGTCCCCAGTGCACGGAGAGCTTCATTCGTTACTTTGATCTGAATGCTCACATTGCAATTGTGCACGACCCGAAGCCCGTCGTCGACGATGCAGCTCCGTTTCCAAACCCGCCCATCTTTAGTGAAGCCAACGGGAATGCTCTCGAGCAGCCTGCTTGGTCGGAGGACTTTTCTCAAGACGGCGTCTTCCCCCCGCAAATGACGTTTGATGTAGGACAGGATGGATGGGTAGAGGGTGACGAGACTCTATTGATGCTGGCTCGTGGGGAGGCAGGTCTGGATGGTACTACTATTGACCCTACACTGGGAGGCTTGTAGATTTGATGTGCATTGGGATGGAGATGTTTTGGGCGTGTAAGTTGACATACGGTGCAGATAATCGGGTAGATTTCCATGTGGCTTAGACAAAGTTACTGCTAGATAGCCATGGCATAAACAGACAGCGTCAGTAAAGACGTCACGATGCTAATGAAAGAATGACAATAAACAACAATCAATAGATAAATTATGCCAATGCTCCGACTCCAGAGTCGGTGGTCCTAATCGCTAAGAAATCATCAAATGACAATGCCCCCATATTGCTTCTATCCATACCGCTGCTAGGTTCCGCGTCCGTTACCAATATAACCCGTTCCTGACGCCCAGTCCTCCATTGTGTGAGACATGATAAGAAACACAAGTATATATCCACAAGCCGCCCGATTGCTCCTTGATGCATAGTCTAGTGCAGCCAAAAATCCAATGCGCTAAAATGAGTGTGTGCTGTGAAAGAGAGAGAAAGAGAGAGTGTGAGATAAATAGAGAAATTTCCACATCACAGGGAAGAAATGGTGGCTATTCAAATTGCTTGAGCCTCCTCCCTACGCCGAATTAACCATGAACAATTGTCGGGAATCAGTGCTCCGCGAACAAGGCGTTGCTGAGGCCCAGCATGGACATGCCCAGGAAAGCAAAGAGCATACACAAATTATGGTTATGATTAAAGCTCAGGCTTTCGACAAAGAGCTGTAGTCCAACACTGACCATGATGCCCGACGTGAGTGCGAAAAGACACCCATACACCACTCCGCTCGGCGTTATATTGGTACTGTTGGCGAGTTTGAACCACAGGGCGGCAATAGCAGCACCGAGGGGTTGAGATAGGCCACCCAGGAGAGCCGACCAGGCCATGGCCCGCCAGCGGGAACCAAGAGCCATATACAGAGGCAAAGCCATGGCAAAGCCCTCGGAGATGTTGTGGACGAACAAGGCCATGAAGACGTTGAAGCCCAGGGCCGGGTTGACGTGGTTGGTAGCGTAGGTGATGAAGCCCTCTGGGAACTTGTGGAGGGCTATGGCTATGGACGTTTGCAATCCAATGGAAAGAAAGGCGTTGGTTGGGACGTGGTGATGATGCTGGGCTTCGGCATCGCCCTCGTCCATCTGCGAGCATGGATAGCCGTTTTCGCTGGCGCCTTCGTCCGTCAGGGTCGTGGAGTCGCGAGACGCAATTCGACTCGGGCTAACGCCAATGTCGTGAACATCTCCATCGCCGTGGTCATGGGTGGCGTGGAATGAGTGGTGGGCGTGGAAATGCCCGGTAGTTGCGCGCAGGGAGGGTGTGTTGCTTGCAGCACGGCTGCTTAGATGCTTGAAACACTCCTGTCCACAAGGATCAGTATATCCATAGCACCGTTTGGACTCGTCGCAGCGGCAATCTGTATCCCAGATAAGGGACATCATCCGCTTCCGAAGCCCAGGTGTGGATTGACGTCTGGTGTAGAGCACGGTATCGTCGGTAATGGCACGGCTGCGGGCAGACGCCGGAGGGCTGCCGCACCGCTGCACCATTTCGGAAGTATGGCGAGTTAGCGTCGGCATCGGGTTGGCATGAACATGCTCCGAGCTGAGCAGAGGAGTCACCTCGCTCGTGGGAGGCTGGTCATCACCACTCTCAGCAATGTCGGAAATTTTGTTGTCGGGCGGTTGGGAGAAGCGCCGTCTGGCTCGACTCGGTCGTGAATGCGCTCGGCCGGTCGGGTCATGCGAATGGCCGTCGGTAGAGGCAACACTGCCATGGCTATGATCGCAGTCGACGACGTGGGAAGGCATAAACTGGTGGACGATTCTCGATACGACCTGAATACCAATGAAGCCTCCGGCAAAGAAGACCATCATGACGAAACCAGCAGCTTGGTCGGACCAGCCTTCTTGCTGGAAGTATTCTTTCGATTCGGGGAGCATGCTGTTGAGCGAAGAGAATAGCTAAAAGGGGGTCGGTCAGCCATCTACATTGCACAGAGTTTTGAGACATGAATGCTCACCATGACGCCAAAGCTCAAGCTCAGCGAGCACGCGAGGAAGATGTTGCTGTCTTGGATGCGGAAGTTGGCCTTGCCCGGAAGGAGGCGCACGAAGATATCGACGCATATTATGGACGCGCCAAAGACGCAAGCTTCATCGAGACAAGATGGTTAGTCGCTAGCTGACAGCGTCAACAGAGTATAATAACATACCTAAACCGCTCACTGCACTCAAGATCCACCCCCTGGTGTCATTGTCGATACTCCTCCCCATCAGCTCCATGGCGACTCTTCTCTTCTCTCCTCGAACAAGATGGATGCGGCTACGGCGGCACAGGCATCAAGCGCTCTGCGTGCTGTGTCTCGCTGATATGGACGGATTTGTCGGGCGTCGAGGATGTCGGGAATGGAGATACCGTGTTCGATTTCCAGAATCCGAACCGGAGGGCGATGTTTTTCAAGTGCTCGGAGGGATTATGTAGGAGTTGTGGTGCAGTGTCAGAGAGTCTTGCTTAGCTGCAAAAGATTTGGAAGTCTACATGCAAGGGTCTGGTTTAGTAGGCAGTCCGCTGACGTAGGAGGGGGATTTTATAGTGAGTTGATGGAGGCAGCAACAAGGATGGAACAAAAGATGGATCAGTGCTGAACAGGTGCCTGGCGTACACCAACAGAATCAAATCCAATCCGACGTCAACAGTTCAGGAGGTTGCAGCACAGGGCATGCATGCATCATGAACAGCTGTTGGGTGTGTAAAATACTCGTCAATTCATCTCAACTACTTGTAAGTACCTTACAGTGAACCCCAGCCATTGTCCAACGAGCGATTTCTGCACAAGTTACGAGTAAAGAGGCTTTGTGAGCTGATGACAAAACCATTCGCCTGGCCATCCAGGTTCTCCGGTAGCACACAATGGCGGCTTGTGGCAGCGCTATCAAGGTTCTCGCAGCCAAGGAATCCCCCCTCCTACTCCGTACATGATTCTGACACATGATTTACAGCATCGAATCAAGGGAGTCGTATGCACTCGTATGAACGAGGTACACACAATACGTGCACAGGTCTGCGAGAGGTCAAGGAAATGGATCTACAAACATCTGCAGCGGTCCATGAACGGGAAACGCATGGGAGCAAAGTACATGTACTCGTACTGAGCGGATGCTCTTTGGGCTCATGTACGAGCATGTACCTCGCGGCATGAAACAAACAAAGAAAAAGCACAAGCCAACCGTGCGCAGCGCATTCAAATACAAAATCTCGCCCAACAACCAACTCATACAATGAACGTGCAGCCTCAATGGCACCGCCGCCACCTGATATCAGCGCTAGAGCATCTCCTGGTCGCCAACCACGCATGACGGTGTCTTGGACAGCAGTCAATGGAATTGATGTCTCACAAAGTCAGAGCCTAAAGTGCCTGTTACGAGTCCATGTAATCGCCCTTATTCTGTGTCATGACTTGTGCCGCCACTGTGGCGTCTCTCAGGCGATCAAATGCAGTCCCCCCCCACTGCGGACCGCTTAATTCCTGTGCGACGAATCACGGCATCGTGCTTTGTAAATGCATGCAGCTACCAAGCATGCATGTTGCCGACCCAATCGGATGTTGACGATAGTTTAATATGGCGGTTAGCCTTATACGAGTAGGTTTGCTAACAACGGACAAAAGAGAAAGGGTGTCCCGAGTCTATCAGGCATTTCCCAAGATCATAGAACAACATTAGGCGGCTAGAGTATAAAACAAGATAAGCCCAGGATTTTGAATTTGGAATACTCCAGCATGAAAAACAAAAAGTTCAAGGCCCAATCTACCGTCTGATCTGAATAAAATATACATCACAAACAGGCAATAACAACTGCACAGATGCCACTTGATACTTGGTCCCTAAGATACCTGAGATGTTGGATGGCCGACTTTGGAGTGCCGGGCACTAGAACCTTTCCTTCTACCAAAGAGAGCAACATTAGTACCTACAAGGCAGGAAGTTAGAATCAAGACAGGTAGACAATGGAATAGGTACCTTAGTAGGACAGAATACCAAAGCATAATCTGGGGTACTAAGTAATGTACTACTAGGTAGTAAGTTTATAATCCTAGGTACCTAGGTAGGTACTTAGGTGTAATCGATGCTATTTACAGTGCATGCCGTAAACGAGCCTAGAGTTTCTAGAAGTGCAAAACTCCATAGACCCCGACCGTCTTCATTTCTCGGCAGTGCTCGAGTCACCTGAAATCCCGGCCTGCAGGAGCCATACTCGTACAGGGTTTGGTCCCGGCGTCAACGAGAGACGAGCTGGATCAATTCCATGAGCCCCTGACGCGCTAGAGCCACAAGCAGCTATTTATAGACGGGCTGATAGCAAACATTGGGCGATAACAGATAGCAGTCGACGTTGGAGAGATGTACAATAATAATAATACACAAGCAAAATCCCATACAAGTGCCCACATCAACTGTATCAGCGTTGAGGTTCTGTTTCTCGAGCGGCATACTTACATGATGCATGCCTGTTTCGGATCGATATTCAGGTAGACCCAGATTCTAGCTGCTGGTTCTGCTAGTTCCAGGTCTTCTAGTGGGGGGCTGTCATGCATCAGGCTTAATTGCCCCCGCTAAAATTTAGGGAGTTCCCCCCCCAACAAAAAAATACCTGCCCTGGAGGCGTGCCGTAATTAGCCACCTGCACTTGCACTGTAGACGTCATGCAGCCGACTGGCTCATGAGGCGCAAACAGGTTCCGAGGTTTGTCAAATCTGCGCTTTACATTCACTTGCAATCTTACGACTCTTCGCCTGAATCACATGGAGCGCAAGTCCCGCCATATATGGGCTGCGTCGTCTACGATCTCTTCTGTTTCTTGCTGAATGAGTCCCAACACGGCGCGAATTTGCATCACCATGTCGGCCGAAACAGCGACGAAACCCTATCCCGAGCTTGCTCCATACGACGATGCGTATGGCTTCTCCCGCGAGTCCTTTGACCCGTCAGCGCTGCCAAACTTCGACTGTGATTACCTCGATTCCGAAGATTTGCTCGCATTCGAGACGGCGTTGCAGGCACCCGATCCTCTACAAAGTCCCACCGATGACACATCCAGCCTACGGTCACCGAGAAGCGTCAGTTCTGTCAACCTGACCAAGAGAGATTCGACGACTGGCAGCGTCCTGGAAGATGACGCCGCCGCCGTTGCAGCATCAGCTGGTGCTGCTGGAGGCAATTTGCTTGTGCCTCCGACCCCGACCCTGGGGACCTTTGTCACAGCGCAGAACGACTGGGCGCCGGTGACCCCCAGCAAACACCGGAACAGACGAGGCAGCAAGAAGAAGAGAAAAGGCAAAGGGCCGGTAGAAGGTCTGCTGGGCACCCGAACAAAAGATGAGACGAGAGAAGGATATCTATACCTGCTCTCTAAATGGCCTCTACTCTTCTTTGTCTTCTCATGGCTCATTGGGCTGAGCATCGCATATCTTTCAACGAGGTGGTACATATGGTTTTACGAACAATTCTGGACGTGGCGTGGCCGACGTGAAATCTTGCGTAAGAACATGCGAAGGACTTCTAGCTACAAAGGCTGGGTCACAGCTGCGAAAGAGCTGGATGAATTCTTGGGCCGAAAGAACTGGAGAGAAGTTGACGACTTTGCCTACTACGACTCCAAAACTGTCAAACGAGTTTGGAGTCAAATTCGCAAGACGCGAGCCAAAGCAGAGGCGCTTGAGATGGACGGCGACCAACAGGAACTGAAAAAGGCTGTTGATGATCTGAGAGCACTCCTGGAGGCCTGCGTCAAGAATAACTTTGTTGGTGTGGAAAATCCAAGGCTCTACAGCCAAACATACTATGGGACCAAGAACCTGGTCCAGAACTTTGTCGACGATGGTAAGCGGCCTATCTGCGCTTTGATGAAACTCGAATCTACTAGGATGCTAACTCGCGCATAGTCGAAAAGAGTCTCCGATTTCTCCTCAATACAGAACACCTCGATGCCGATGAGAAACGAATACTGTTCAAGCACGTACACGCCAACTACGGACGAACGGCCCTTTGTCTGTCTGGTGGGGCTACATTTGCCTATTACCATATTGGAGTCGTGAAGGCGATGCTTGATGCCGACCTACTACCCGACGTTATCACCGGAACCAGCGGAGGCGCACTGATAGCCGGCCTCATTGCTACCCATACCAACGATGAACTGAAAGAGCTTCTGATACCAGCACTTGCGCATCGAATTACTGCTTGCGGCGAATCTATGAAGACTTGGTTTCCCAGGTGGTGGAAGACCGGCGCACGCTTTGACTCGGTCGACTGGGCCGAGCGGTGCTCTTGGTTCACGAGGGGCTCAATGACTTTTAGGGAGGCATACGAGCGGACCGGGCGTATCCTCAACGTTAGCTGTGTCCCGGCTGACCCTCATTCTCCAGCCATTCTTTGCAACTATCTAACCAGCCCCGACTGCGTCATTTGGTCTGCTGTGCTTGCATCGGCGGCTGTTCCAGGAATCCTCAACCCGGTTGTCCTCATGATGAAAATGCGGGACGGGACTCTAGCACCGTACTCATTCGGCCACAAGTGGAAAGACGGCAGCTTGAGAACTGATATCCCCATCAAGGCGTTGAACACACACTTCAACGTCAATTTTACCGTCGTGAGCCAAGTCAACCCACACATAAACCTCTTCTTCTTCTCTTCAAGAGGCACAGTTGGCCACCCCGTCACGCATCGTAAAGGGCGTGGCTGGCGTGGTGGCTACCTCATGTCGGCAATAGAACACTATCTCAAACTCGACATGAACAAGTGGCTCAAGTTTATTCGACACGCAGAACTGCTGCCTCGCCCCCTGGGACAGGATTGGAGCCAGCTCTGGCTGCAGGAGTTTGGCGGCACCATTACCATCTGGCCCAAGTCGATCCCTTCTGATTATTGGCATATCTTGACAGATCCAGACGAGAAGCGATTGGCCCGGATGATACACGAAGGACAGCAGAGCACCTTTCCGAAGCTCAAGTTCATGTCTAACCGCCTCAAGATAGAGAGAATGATAGAGCAGGGGAGGAGAGAAACCAGGCCATGGGCGAGAAGAGGAAGCATGCAGAGAATCTACAGCGACGATGATTTGAGAAGCATTTTGCTGGAAGAGATGGCAGTGACGTCTTCGACAACGGAAGACGATTCGGAGCAGGATGGCGAGATGAATAGCGAAATCACACCGTCTCAAGATGGCGAGGAGAAGGACGAGATTAGCACTTGAAGAAGAGAGCAATGTAGATTAAGCGTCTTGGAGCATCAATGTTTAGAATTAGGTTGGGTATTGTTTTTCAGCTGTACAGCGCAGTATAACACGAATAGCGTTATCAAAAATTGAGATTTAATACAGATGATGATTTATAATCGCACCCCGTGCACAAGGCAGAGTGGAAAGAAGGAAAAGAAGAAGAAGACATGAAACGTATGCTGCATCTATGAGGTTCTATCAGATGCTATTTCCGGCATCTTCCACGTGTGAGATGCCTATTTGGATCACTGACATGTCCGGAGGAATTTTGACGTAAGCAGACAACAGGTTTGCAGCTACCTAAACAAGGCACAGGGCCAGCCGTTAGCGCTGCGAGGTGCCTGTCCGGGCTGTCCCTGTCCCCTGTACTGTGTTTTTGCCGTGCTATTGAGACTTTTGGTGGCGTTTCTTTTGAACACGGTGGCGGAACCGACTGTGGGGGGGACCGGATTATCCAGCGCCCGAGCCTTGCCGTTCTTGCGCCTACCATCATTACACATTTACAGAGGACACTTTTTGAAGGGCAACCTCGACAACAGTTCGGCCATCTTCTCTCTGTCTTTGCACTTTTCCTCGAGCCGGCTGAGCTCCCCAAGGCCGTCAAGATGAGCTCAGACTACTCGTACGACGAACAGGTATGTGCAGCTTTCCCTGCCTCTGCAGCGTTCCGCTCGCCCCAGGATTCGCCTTGTCGAGGTGGGCTTGAGCTCACATGGTTGGACTGTTGTTTGCTAACCGGGCGTCTTGTCCACAGGGCCAGTTCTTCCCTTTCTTCATCCTGACCGTTACCGGCCTGGTCACCTTTCCCTTGACGTACAGTCTTTTCCGGAAAAGCACCGACAACGATGCGCTTGCGCCGCGCATCAAGTCGGATTTCACAACCAAGCATGGCGATGTTGTAGCGTCGCTGCGTGCGGCGCAGAAGAGGAAGCAGAGGAAGATCAAGAGGGCCATCTTCGTCGTGTTGGGCTGGGCCCTCATGGCGGGCATGGTCTATCTCATCATTGTGACCCAGACCATCGTTCCCAAGATTTGGAACCCTTATGACATCTTGGGCATCTCAGAGGTAAGCAAGACCACAGCACACACATCTAATAGGATGACGGGGAGCCGAGCGCATCAGAGCTAACATTCAATTTGAATTGCAGTCGTTTACAGAAAAGCAAATCAAGTCTCACTACAAGAGACTGTCCGTCAAATTCCACCCGGACAAGGTTCGACCGGATCCCTCCAAGAACGAGACGCTGGAGATGCTCAACGACCGATACGTGGAACTCACAAAAGCCTACCAAGCCCTGACGGATGAGGACGTCCGAAACAACTACATCCAATACGGCCACCCCGATGGCAAGCAGAGCTTTAGCATCGGCATTGCGCTGCCTCAGTTCATCATCGCAGAGGGCAACGGCAAATACCTGATTCTGCTCTACACCGGTCTCATGGGTATTTTGCTGCCCTACATGGTTGGCTCATGGTGGTATGGAACCAAGCGAATGTCAAAGGAAGGCGTCCTGATGGAGAGCGCCAACCGCCTGTTCAGACACTACAACGAAGAGATTGACGAGGGTGGCATCATTACCGCTCTTAGCACTGGCAAGGAGTTCGAAGCCGTCCTCAAGGGAGACCAGGCTGAATCTGGCCTGTCCAAGGTCGAATCCCGGATCTCAGCCGAAGGCGAATCCGCACCGTTTGCCTGTGGATTCTCTGTTAAGGACAAGGAGAAGCTCGAAGACCTGGACAGCGGCGTGCGACGCAAGGTGCTTGCCTTGCTGTGGGCTTACCTTGGCCGTGTCGAGCTTGATGACCCTGCGCTGACCAAGGCCAAGTTCGAGGTCGGTGCGATTGCCCGGACATTGAACCAGTCTTTTGCTGCGATTGCGATGGCCTTTGGCAGCATTGGCCCCATCGCAGGATCTTTCAAAGCCAACCAGCATCTCATCCAAGCCTTATCCCCCAAGTCTTCTCCTCTCCTCCAGCTCCCGCACATCAACGACAAGGTTGCTGCCGCCATCGAAGGCGACTCAAAGTCCCACCTGACTGTGCAGCAATTCATGGACCTCCCCGACGCCGAACGAAGACGACTCGCCATTGGCAAGGATCTCCTCAGCGACGACCAGTACAAGGAGGCCATCAGTGTTGGCAAGCAGCTTCCCTACTTCCGTGTTGCCAAGGCCTTTTTCAAGGTTACCGGCGAGAAAGTCATCATCCCTTCATCTCTAGTGACGCTGGTCATCAAGGGCCGATTTATCCCCCCTGGCACCGAGTCGGTTCCCGCCATTGATGACCTGTCTCTGGAGGACATTGACCCCGCTGAAGACGATTTGGATGCTCTCATGGGACGCAAGAAGAAGACGATCAAGGGCCCCGATGGAAAGCCCATCACCGTCGAAGATAGCTCTGTCCTGCCGCCTCTGACTTTTGCCCCTCATTATGCCCGAGACCACTCTCCCAAATGGTACGCTTTCCTCAGCGATTCCAAGCAGGACAAGATGGCGGTTCCCCCTTTCACCTTTGACAAGTTTGATCAGCCCCTCTTTGATGAGGAGGGAAAGCCCACCTTCAACATGCAGACTCTCAAGGCTCAATTCGCTGCTCCCCCTCAACCCGGCCACTACACTTTCTGCATGCACGTCGTTTGCGATTCCTATGTTGGCTTTGATACCAAGATGGAGGTTACTCTCGTTGTAGAGGACGCCAGCAAGGCCGCCCAGATGGAGGCTGAGGACGACATCAGCGAGCCGGAAGAAGGTAAGCCGCCTGCCTCCTCGCCGCAAAGAATACCAAAAGATCAATGCGCTAACATGTGTGATGTAGATTCCATTGCTGGACAAATGCGAGCCCTCAAGACTGGCCAGCCTGCTGGCGGAGCTCCCAAGCCTAGGCGGAACAAGGACAGCTCTGATGAAGAGTCAGGCACTGATGAGGAAGAGGATGACACAAGTGACACGAACACCGACACGGAAGACGAGAGCTGAGGTCCTCCCTGACAATAATAGGTTGTCACGGAGCATGTTTCATTAGACTGAAAAAAAAAATGAAGAAAAACACAAGCAAAAAAAGGAAATCCAGATAACTGGTGACTAAAAAAGAGAGAGAGAAAGAGGGGAAAACTTGGCTCAAGCACATGTACTTTCGCAGTGAAGCGCGAGTTGATTTTGCATCCGAGCCATACTTGAGGCAAGGGAACCATCAGAGACTGGGTTGGGTAAGCCGTATCTGACGGCGTGGAGTTTTTTTTTTCATCTTTTTTTTTTCAAGCGGCATAAGGAATTTAATTATGTTGGGTTTGTTAGTCGAACTTGTATTACCTAGTTTTACCTAGAATCATGTCATGTTATTGGAACAAATACAGGACGGTGTGATGCTGAAGCATGCTTACAAGTGTTTTTGTTCTCTTTAAGAAGTGCGAAATTAACTGAATAATGGGTGCTTACAACGGCGAGAGGAGGGAACAAACGTAGAAGAGAGAAAGGTCGATAATATATTTGGCGCTTTTGATTGCGTGTGTGCGTGTGTGAGGTTGTGTGTGAACACTCGTTTGTACTACATCTATGTACTACTACGTTATGAATTATTATCTTCTCCAGCAGTCCCGGTCATTGCCATGTGATAATCATGATGAGCTCAACCATCTCGCCAAACAGAAAAAAAAAATAAAAGAGTATGAGAAGAAGTAACAAAAAAGGGGGTGAAAATGGTGAAGAAAAGGATGGACGTAAGAAGAAGAAAAAGAGAGCAGCGCGCTCAACATACTCGCACGCCGCAAACCTCGACGCCCTTGCCTTCAATAACGGCCTGTCTACCGAAATACACGGCAGCAAGCTCCTGCACAAAGAGGGCGTCGCTGGCGCTCCATACGTCCAGGCCCATGGTCTCTATGGACCGGCTGTCTATGGTGATGGCGGAGAGATCAGAATCGTCGCCGCCGTTGGGAATCAGATCTTCGTTTTCGTCGTTTTCGTCGTCGCCCTCGTCATTATCGCGGTATGTCTCGTCCGCAGCATCGACAATGTCCACCATGACGGAAAGCATCTGCGTGGTGAGGCGGTGGAAGTAGGTGATGATGGCCAGCTCAATGTTGGCCTCGCCATCGACGCTGCCGCGGCGGCCAGCAAGGGAGGCGATGGAGTTGCTCAGGGGTTCTAATTGCAAAGGCGAAGCGGACGGCGGAAGCGACATGGAGGCGCGAGGGCTGGCTGGGAATAGCAAATCCGCGAGAAGGGCGGCATCGCGCGTCGACTCTTCTTGCTCTTCTGAGCGGATCTGCTCGCCGGCGCTGGCCCACCACATGAAGCCGTTATAAGCAAAGGCTGCCCAGGTGACAGGCTCGATGAGCTTGTCGGCGGCGTCATAGGGTTCGTCTTTGACCACCCGAGCGGAGTGGCTAGTCGACAGCCTCACAGCCGAGGTCTCGGACTCGGGGGATCGAGGATCTTGGCCTGCGGGGGCGGTTGGCGCGATTGCAGCCAGGCGAGCGAGGCCAGTACGCAGTGCGTTGAAGCGACGAAGGTCACGCTGGGTGGCCTTGACGATTTTGCCGCCGGCATACTCTACCACCGGCCAAGCTTTGTCTTTGGCATTCGCCGAGTAGTCTGGCGGCATGGTGATGAGCATGTCCCAAAGGGTGTCTTTAGTCGCGAGGATGCTGTCCGTGGTGCAGGCAATCCAGCCAGACCCTGATTCATCGGCATCATCGACGGCACTTTCATCGCTGCGGTCACGCTTGGATGCCTTGAGGTCATCCATGAGGAACGAAATATCATGCACGCCAATGCTGAACAGAGGTCGAAGACGCTGGGGCGGAGAAGGCGTAGGCAGGGAGTCTGTGATGGAGAGGGGGATGTTGGACAAGATGGAGATGTTATATACTTGGGACCACATGTTAGCATCTGTGCCGTCCATTGCTTCAACCCAAGGCTTGACTCACCAAAGTTGCAAATCTCATGTACCGGAGCGTGGCAAGAAATCAATATGCGCTGTCGAAGCAGGGCGGCGCGGTGGATGGGGAATATCAAGGGGCCGAAACTGTCCAGCAGCTCGGCCAGGCTCCAGGCAGGGTGGTAAGGAGATAGTTTGTGCTCAGGCTGGAACAGAGAGACGCCGTCGGTGAGGGACGAGTGTCTGCCATGGGTCTTGCGTAGCTGGTCTGGTACTGGAGAAAGGGGTGTGTTGACGGTGGAAAAGGTCTCTCCCTCTTTGGCCTTGTTGGAGTCCCAGTACTTTTCTAATATTTCGGTCTGGTTACGATTCTTGGCGAGGTTCCTTTTGGCCGGCACGTTTCTTAGCTGAAGCTGTTGGAGGGTGGAATGGAACAAAGATTACTTACGCCGCCATTTTCTTCAGGTTTTCGGCATGTCTCCATGCACGCCCCAGCCTTCCATAACTGAGAGGGACCAGAATGCCCACGGCAATCATGCGAGCATGACGGGCCTCTTCCTCTTCACACGGCTCGTTGACAAATGCGCTCAAGCCAGCATGTGCGCCATCGTGGACAAAGTAGATGAGATCGTCGGACACGGTATGGAGGCCAGACGGCAGCGATTTGTACTCGACGAGACCCTCGAGTTCAAGTCCCGGCGTGGACTGTTTCCAGACAATTGTGTAGCCGGCCTTGACGTCGAAGTCGATGAGAAACAGGGCGGCAATGGGCGGGAGATCGACGAGGGTGGCAGCAGGGGCGGGAGGAGGAACGGAGATGGACGTGGGCTGGCCTCGGCGAGCTGCTGGGGCCATGGCGACTTGGATATGGCTTCTGAATGGATCAGAGCATGATATGGATTGGACTGCTTCGAGGTACGAGTACGGAGCTCATGCGAGAGGCTGGTAATGGCAGACGAGAGACCAAGTAGGGATGGGCGGATGGAGCAGAGATGCGTCGGCACACAATCGATAGCTCATGCAATGCGGCAGAACGGAGTATCGAAGCAGAGCAGAGCAGAGCTGAGCTGAGCTGAGCAAAGTGGATTTGCTGGATGGAGACGATGTTCGTCCTTGATGCCCAAGGCGTTGCTTTGTTTTGGGGGGTTAATATAAGAACAGCAGCAGCAGCGGTATCTCGTGCAGCGCGCTATGCAGAGCAGTTCCGCGGCAGCGATTCGCTCAGGACGCAGCCGTCAAAGCTCCGCGAGCAGGCAGGCAATTGGATTTTAAAAGCAGAGCGTCGCCATTGCGGTCTTGACAGGGATGCAGCTTGCATGGCGTGTCTTTTGCAACTTTGCTTGAGCCGAGGGTGGATCAGCAAGGCTCCAGAATGGGAAGATGCAGATCACGTGATGGTTCTCTTGTTTCTTGGTTTGAGGAGCAAGTTTCACACTCGGAGGATGAGAAGAAAGTAAGAATCAAGTGTGTATGGTTGAAATAATGACCGATTAAAGATTCTATATCTTCTCCGGCTGGTGGTTTCAAGTGGTTGCCTTGATACTCGCAGCAGTTGAAATGCCACCTATTCAAGCGTTGATACTTTTTGACGCCGAAAGAAACGTGGTGGAAACAAAAGACAGCCAATCCCCACATTGTCGTCGGCTATTTCCAACCAATCACAGAATCAGGCTGTCCTTGTGCCCCTCTTCTTCTAGACGAATGTCACTCACTGGTTGAGGCCTTCCGCTACTCCATCGGTACCTGGTGCAGACGCCAACAGCAACGCTGCTGTAGGTACACACCACTTCCTTACACGTTACAGGTATACCTTATTCAACAAGCTTCGGTCTTGAGCTGCCCAGTGTTTTATATGTTTGTCGATACTATGGTTTAGTAGGCACACATCGACTACTATATGCAGACATTCCCGTGACCACCAAACTTGCCGTGCTTGTGATTTCATTCCCTCTTCTCCCTCCTCCTCTTCTTCCAACAGAAAGAGAAGCATATCACCATGAAATAAAGCTTCAAACCCCCACGGTAACTAAAATGCAAAATACGCATCAGCAGTCTTCAGAAGGCCCTCGGGCATGGCGACGGACGTCCTCTATAAGCTCAGAAGACATGAAGTCGGCCCTAGAAGCCTTCACAACCGCCGGCAACAAGACTCTCGGTGCAAGCTCGTTTGGAGCAGGGCTCGACGACTATCTTTGGAATGCTGCCGAGCGCAACACTAGCATCCCCAGCGGCTACAAACAAGACGCAATTACAAAGGAGATGATGGCAAAAGCGTGGGCTGCGAAGTCATATCCCAGCATGGCAGGGCACGGAAGCGGCAGCCAGGGTACATAGCCTGAGTAAAAGAGAGACATGAGATGGCAATGTTGTCAGTATATCAATATCTATCAGTTTGGCATGGAGCTCTGTCGTCTGCTGGGTGAGCAGTATGTAAAGGGAACGCCAATTCTCAGCACCTCAAAGTTTGCTATTTAGCATCCTATGTAGCTACATTAGTAGATACCAGAGGAATGTAGTAGCTATAGTAGTAGATACTAGATGAGTATACTCTTAGCAAAGTGGCATTCTCGCAGCTCAATCGCTCTGTGTATCTTACATGAGCGTCCTCGGCTTTGAGTGTCCGGTAACCGGAAAAGCATGTGCCGAAGTGGAATATCCAATTGGAGAGATTATGCTTGAGCTTGAAACAGAATGCAATATATTGATTGGTCCATTTGATCCCCGAGCACACTGCAACACACTACCTAAGTAGCACCTTGGTAATATCAAGTACTGATAACTGAAATAGTGTAACCCAAAATTCACCGTCGGCCACGATTGATAACAAGTCGAAGAAACGTGTTGAAAATTACCACCAGGTATCTCTCCCCCACACGTCCAAACCCCACACAGCATCCCAGCCAATCACGGCATCAGCACTGCGCTCAACCCCTCTAAAAGCCCGTTCCCCAACGTCATTAACCTACCAGAGCACCCGAGGCCGTACCCGTGTACCTGCTTGACACGCCCACAGGCGCCGCGTGCTGCAGGTAGCCGATACTTGAGCCGCTACAGGTACACCATGCAGATTTGCAAGTACACCCGTTTCTTCTCCAACAAAAATCTCCTGGCCACCAACTTTAGTTCCCGTGCCTTGTGTGCGCTTGTGATTGCGTCCCCTGGGCCGTCCATTTTTCTTGTTCTTTTCCTTTTCCTTTTTCTTCTTTTTCTTCCCTTTTTTTGATCTCGTCACGTTCTCTCTATCCTCCGTCCCGCAGTCCAATCTCGGCTCAGCGCAAGAGCATGGAACTGTAACACCGCCAGCCTCGAAACCTTCTCCCCGCTCTCTCTCTCTCTCTCTCTCTCTCTCGCCTCGGCTTCTCTCTCTCCGTACGACGACGACAACAACAACTAGACAAAAAACCCCACTACCAACAAACAACAGCAGCAGCCCAAACCATGGTCCTGTTCCTTGGCGCCATCGCCAAGTTCCTCATCGGCTACACGGCTCTGACAATCTCCTTCTACATGCTGTCCCTCGTCGTCCCCAAGGCGGCCTTTGTGGCCCGCGTCCTGGCCGCCTACATGACGCTCATCGCCTGCGCCCTCTACGGCGTCGTCGCCTCCATCGTCCTGACCGTCCTGGGCAAGCAGCAGATTGCGCAGTGGACCGTCGCGCGGGCCTTCCACTACTCCATGCAGCTGACCACGGGCGTCGAGTTTGTCGTCGACGACCCGCACAACGTCCTCAACACCACCCGGCCCGCCGTCTTCATCGGCAACCACCAGACCGAGCTCGACGTGCTCATGCTGGGCGCCATCTTCCCCAAGTACTGCAGCGTCACGGCAAAGGCCCAGCTCAAGAAGGTGCCCTTCCTCGGCTGGTTCATGAGCCTCAGCGGCACCATCTTCATCGACCGCAAGAACAGCAAGGACGCCCGCTCCGCCATGGACGGCGCCGCCTCCGAGATCAAGACCAAGCGCCAGAGCGTCTACATGTTCCCCGAGGGCACGCGCAGCTACACCAAGGAGCCCGCGCTGCTGCCCTACAAGAAGGGCGCCTTCCACCTGGCCGTCCAGTCCGGCGTCCCCATTGTCCCCGTCGTCGTGGCCAACTACAGCCACGTCCTCTACATCAAGGGCCTGGTCTTTAACTCTGGCAAGATTCCCATCAAGGGTATGTGTTCAAACTTGTTTCAACCCCGGAATTCTCGCTGTAATGCTAATATGCTCAACCCTTTATTTAGTCTTGCGCCCCATCCCCACCACAAACCTCACCTCCTCCGATGTCGACGAGCTCACCCAGTCCACCCGCGAACTCATGCTCAAGGAGCTCATCAGCCTCACCGAAAAGGCTCGCGGCCGTCCAATCGCCGTTCCCACCTCCCTCAACGGCACCTCCACAGCAAAGAGCACCGCCATCAACTAGAAGTTGGCCGCGGCTACCCCACAGCGTATGCACTCATAGATTATGAAGTCAACGAGACAACGCCCTTTTTTAGCGATAGAGAAATCAAACCATGTTTTCAACCCCCTCTAAGAAACAACAAAAACAAAAAGAGAATGGTATGCCCCCGAGTTAGATTAGACATGGCAGGCTGGTTGGCTGGCGGATTCAAATGGCGAAATAGAGGACGGAACGGTGGGTGGAAAGGGTTTAAAGAGCGGTTTTTTTGACATGTGCGCGAGGTCAATTTCAAATTGATACCCATTAGAATTTAAAAAAAAAAACCAAGAAAAAACAAAACCCTCTCATGGCATTTTTTTTAATCATCATTGTATGGTCAACTTTTATATTGTTTTTCACTATCCTCGTTAAAACAGATAGCAATTCATCTGTACATCTCTCTTCATCTACATTTTCAACTTCCAGCTGGCCAAAGAAATAAAAGCATGTGTCTAAACGCTCTACATGCGCTCCCCCATACGCCTCTTAAAACACGACGTTGCCAAACTCCAGATGCCACCGCCTCTTTTGCCCCTTTTCTTTTCTCTCTCTTCCGAAACCACACATTGCCAGGAGATTCCATCATTCCTCAGTTTCTCTTTTTTTCTCATAACCACAACCAAATATACACGACGTAACCACCGCGCCCGAAAAAAACAGAGGAGCAGACATCTATATTTTTACTCCCTCAACGCCAAGATGGCCTGCGTAAGAGGCACAACTCTAAGACTGCGGCCTCGCTTCAGTCCGGCCTCACTCGAAGGGTTGTTCAAGAGCGTCGGGCACCGCTCATCGGTCCACTTGCGAAACACTCGCTTCAGGTCCCGCGGCGCACCCTCGAGGACAACCGTCGAGATGGGGATAAAGGGCCGGTCCTCCATGCTGGCAGCCAGGACGGCGTATTCCTGGGCGAAGTCGAGGGCGGTGCGGAAGGACGCGTACTGGGACTGGGCCTGAGAGCCAACGATAATGTACATCTCGAAAAAGGCATCGAGAATGTAAATGTTGAATGTTGACATGTCGGCCTGGTTAAACGGGCAAATCTCAAAGATCTAACGAAATATGTGGTCAGTAAAAATTGCAATAAAGGAAAAATACACAAATGTCCACCGTCATGTATGCGTTTTTGCTCACCTTTTGCCTAGACTCTACATCGGCACAAAAGAGTCTGCCGTTGTATTTCCCATAACTGGGCTTCAGTCTCCAGTGATCCGCCGAGTGAGGCTTCGACTCGCCACCCATCATGTCCCAGAAGGAGGCAGGCTCATCGCCCTCGTCATACTCAATCAGCTGTCCAGTCACCGTCAAGTCCATACCAATGAGGCGTGCACAGCTGAGCTCCTCCACGTCGCTGCCCTTGCCCTTCCACAAGTAGCAGTTGCCAGAGTGGGTGATGAGATAGGCAAATCCAGCACAGAGGCTGCCCGTCGTAAAGTCAACCTCGTCAAATGCTACCTGGCCCTGATACCGTCTGCCACACAGCATGGATGGCGCAAGCGAGTCGTATCTGGTGCTTGCGCCTCTTCGAACAATGACAATGCCGCCAAGGGCCTGTAGGAACTCGGGTGTTTCCTTGCCCTGTCTGATTTTGATGAGTTTGCCGCCCAGCTGCCTGGCCTCTTGCTGTGCCACGGCCTCTGCTGCATCCTCATCTGCGTCCGCAACTTCATCGCCGATCCAGAAGTAGACCTCGCGCACTTTCCATCCGGCCTCGTTGGTAAAATTATGCCCAGCAACGTACATTTCTTGTTCAAAGAGGATGCGCTCGCGGTAAGCCGGAACGATCATCTGCTTGCCCTCTCCATCAATCTGGAACATGTGGAACGACAATGTCTTGCCCTTTGCACCAGTCTTTGGGTAGTTTGTCAAGATATCAGCGTAGTCCATGTCGCAGGCGACGCTCTCATACGGGGGGCCAAAGAAGTCGTGAAGTATGGCTGATACGTCGCTACCGTGGCTTGTTTGCGGCCGCGAAGGTGATGCTAGGGCCGGCTCAACCCGTGGTTGTGGTAGCCGCTGGGAAAAGGCTGCCGCTGCAGGCGGTGGTGACGCTGGCCGTGTGTCACCTCCCTTTGGTAGCCCGTTGAAGGAAGTCGGCTTGGGTCCTGGCAATGGGGCCGTCAAGGCAGCCGGGGCACGCTCTGGTGCAGCGTTTACTGTCGATGGCTTCGATTCGCCTAGCATGTTGATGGCGGATGACCGGGTGTCCGGTAGCGAGCGCTCGGTTTTCTTTACCGGTGACCATGGGCCAGTCTTTTGTTGTATCAGCTTCTTAGCCTCTTTGGCAGGCTCTCCGGTCTTGACCGGCTCCCATGTGCCGGTCTTTTGAGGCGAGAGCTTGCCTGGTGTCCTGGGAGTCTCAGAAGCCGCCGTAGTGGCATCATCCTTGGGTTGCTCGAAGAATTTCGACATGCGCTTCAAGTTGAGTTTCTTTGGTGCTTCTACCTCCGACTTCTGAGGCGACTCGGAGCGTGATGACAATAATTGGCCAACCTGGATAGCAGACTCTGTTTGTCGTCTAGCACGAAGATTCAGGGGGGTAACAGGCTGCTCCAGAGGTCGGCTGTCAGCCTCTACCTTTCTCGCCTCGATAGGCTTTGGTTTGAATGGCACATCTGGCTTTGTGGCCGCTCGATCTTGGATTGGGTGTGTAATTGGCTTCCTGTCTTCGACGGGCGCGGGGAGACGCTGCTTTCCAAAGGCGGCGGGTTGCCGGCTGACTGAGGACGACTCTGCAGAGCCATTTGTGGAATTGGCGGAAGCGTTGCCTACATTGGTCGGCGCCTTTCTCCTCGGGCCACGCGCTCGACTCTTAGTCATGTGTGTCAGCTGAGGGCCTGGCTGTGAAGGTTGGGCATCTCCATCGCCTCGTCCCGATTCTTCACCTCGGCTCCCGCCGTTGGAAGCTGCCGGTGGTGGTCCTCGTGCCAGCATCCCGGCAAGGGCAGGGTTGAATCGTCCGGCCAGGCCGCCAAGCTTTGATGGAGCACTCTTCTTCTTCAAAAGGCTGGGCAGAGACTCTTCGGTCCGGGTTGGCGTATCGGGTTCCTTATTCTCTAGTCTGGTATTCTCAGTCAAGGTGGTCTTCGTGGGAGTCAAGGATGGGCTGGACTGTTTGGCCAAGTTCACTTGACTTGACTTTCTCTGTGGAGGATCTGGTTTTGAGAAATCGGAATTCTTCGACTGACCGGATGGGGTTCGACTCTCTGGGGGTGCGTCTTGCTGGAGCACTGCCGTTGGCTTACCCAGCTCACTCCTCATGGCGAGTGCTTCGGGGAGAAGAGGCTTAGGCTTGTCGCGCGTTATCGTATTCGCAGTTCCTGTTCCCTCGGCTTGGGCCCTTTTGAAATCGTCTCTCTTCTTCTGTATGGAGTCCTTGAACTCGTCCCTAATTACCGACTTCTGTGGCCCGTCAGTCGTGTTGAGAGCCGCCTTGCCACGGAGGATGTTGTCCTTTAGTTCGTCTGGAGCTTTAAAGTTTTGAGTCTTGGTTCTGCGAAGAGTGCCAAATACAGCCTTGAACTCGGGCTCCTGGGTCTTGGGAGTCGGGGCTTCGGCAGCTCGTGGCTTCAAGTTGGAGCGGAAATCCAGATCCTTCTTTGGCGGAGCCTCGGGTTTAACCTTGGCAGGCAGAGGGTTAGGGTTGAGAGAGGAGCTAAGAGACTCGGACCGCCTCTCCCTCACTTGATCGAGAGCGCCTCTCGACTTTGATCTTGGTCTTTCCGGTCCGGCAGTCATGGGCGTGCTCGACGTTGGGAAATTTTGAAACGACGCACGATTCGTTACGGACTGTGTTCCAGGGGGTGAATAGATTCCGCCTAGACCAGTAGTGTTGAGGTTCAGCCTCGAACCCATTGGCGTGGACCTCATAAGCCCATCGATACTAACTTGGTGCTTGTGAGAGGGAGCAGCGGGTCGGCTTGGCTCGGGAGTAGCATTACCACCACGCCCAGCCTTGTTCTTGTTGAGCTCGACCATCCATGCTGGCTGTTGCGAGGATGCTGGCTTCGGGGGTAGCTTTGGCGAGTCTGGTTTGTTAAGGGCGCTCTCGAGCCAGCTTGATTTCGTCGGGCTCCAGCGTCGAGGCTCCATCGTCTTGGTTGGGGAGACGGGAAGAGATGCATCATCGAGAAGCTCATGCCTTTGGGGCTGAGGTGGGCTCGTGGAAGTTGGTGTTTTGGGACGCCTTTCGGACGCTTCTCCATGTCGAGAAGTCGGCCGAGAGGATGGACGAGAAACCGGCCTACTTGTCCCTGGCGTTGTGGTTGCCATTGCTGCTGTTGGGTCACGAACAAACATGCTTTGCGGCCGTGGCGGAGCCGCGCCCCTGTCGATTGAGCCACGATGGCTCGCCGTCACGTTCTCGGGACGGGTCAACGCAGGCGGGCTGGCAACAGACCATCGCTTCACGCTGTCGCTCCTCTTCATCATTGCGCTCTGCACAAAACCGCCCATGCCCTTGGTCGGGGATGATGTGCGCACAGGAGACGTCCGACCAGTCGCTGTTGGGGCAATTGGTTCTGCCTGAGGCCTCTCAGCGGCTGGGTTGTCGAAGCTGGGAGGGTTCAGGGAGAATGGCGAAGCAAGCTTGCCGAGAGCACTCTCGCCTCGGGAGCCAGGGCGTTCTCCTGAGTGTTCGCTGCTCATGCCATGCAGCTGGGCGCTGAGAGACGACATGTCGAGCCGATCGTCGTCTTCCACCTGGTTCCGTCGGTACGCCGCAGAGTCAGCGCCTCTATCGGCAGTTTGACGAAACCACGACGCATCCTTGGATCCCAGGCTCTTGGCGATCTGGTCCTTGGACAGAGGCTGGGTAGGAGATGGAGGCTCCTCTGCAGCGGTCTCGTGCGTGGCGGCCGCATTTCGAGCAGCGACGACGCTCAGCGGGCGGCTGTTGGATCGGGTCGAACGCCGCTGCCACGAGAGTTGTGAAGCCCTTTGAGCAGCTGTGGCATCATCGCCCCGCCTTGCGTCGAGATCCTCAGGGGCCTCGTTCTCTCTCGCCTGTGAGGTGGAGTACAGCATGGCATCGGATTGTGCATCCGCCTCTAGGGGTTTCTCTGTGTCGGTCGATCGCTCGCGCAGCCTATCCAAGGACTCGCCGGCTGGGGAGTCGAGTCTCAGCGATTCAGAGAGGTTGACAGTTCGCCGCAGCGTGCGTGGTGACGGCGTATTGGCTGGCGATGATTTCTGCGGTGAGATGGATCGGGCGCGTTCTTTTGAATAAGGCGGGTCAGCGTTTGTTTCATCAGTAGGCCAGGTCCCGGAATTCATATAGGCTCGCTGTTTAGGGCCCCCCATAGCAGATCTAGGGGGTGTGAAGGACAGCCGTAAGGAAACATTTGGACAAAAAGTAAATAAACCTTGTGCCTGGTGGCAACCCTCAGAGAGCTCGGGCAAACGAACACCATGGCAACAAGGCAACGCCAAAAAAAGCCAAAGCCTCACACCATCGGGTAGCTACCTAGCAACAGGTACTACCGTCCGTCCCCCGATTCCGTGAAGAAATGGCGGGAAACAAGGCAAAAAAGAACAAAGGCACTCACCCTCTCTTCTGGCCTGGCGCTCCCGCTTGGCAGCAAGAAACTCCTCGCGCTCTCGGGCTCGCATCTCGTCGTCCTCAATCTGCTGCCCCCGCAGGCGCTCGACCTGCTCGAGAAACTGGGATACTTCGTCCGACATGGTGGGATTGGCGACTCTCTACCGGTGCGTAAAAGCAGCTGACAATGGCATGGCACGGGGGGGGAAGAGGCTGCCTGTGCTTGTTGTTCCGCTCTCGAGGTCGAAATCGAAGTCGAGGTCGAGGTCGAGGTCGAGGTCGAGTTTGGAGATCTGGTGGTGGGGGTTGATTGTCCTGTCCTCAAACGGTTGGGACGCTGATCCTATCTGTACATTCGGTAGCAGATTGGCGGCATCAATCTTTAAGAGACCTGGAACCTGACACCCGCCCTTTTTATTGGGGGTCAAGCAGCTGGAGCGTGTTGCCGTTGCCGTGGGTTGCGGCCCGCGGGGCTGTCTTTGGGGCGTGTCTAGGCGATCCACAGCATTGACGCCCCTGTAACCTAGCCCCCCAGGAGAAACCGCAGCGCTCATGCAGGGTACCAGACGCTCAAGGGGGTTTCCGGTATTAACTCCCAACGTCATGAAATTGCATCTCACAGAGCACAGAGCATGCATCTCCTTTTTAGAAATCACCTCCATACTATTCCTCGTACTATTTGCGCGCGCCATCCCGGCCTCTCCTGAACGGTGGGCAAGGCTCGAGCACCGTCTATAGCGAGGGGGGCTTCGATTGTTTACTCGTACTGTCATCAACAACAGTAAACACACACACAAACACGAGATGTGCTTAGTACTAAGTTAGTGCCCGTCATCAACAACCCCAAAATCTCGTCCAACGGCCGTAGAGGTTGCAAAGTGACCTCTTTCTTTCTGCTTTGATTCCATCTGTCTCGCCTGCGTGCCTTGGAACCAAATCCGATCGAGGCCTCTCTGCTGCGAACCAATCAGGTCGGCGAGACGGCCGTCAGGCGAGTTGGTCCGATGAGCCTATCCACACAATTTCCACACCATCTTGCCATCTCCCTTGACAACTGGTCCACATGAGTCTTTGTGCTACTCCGTGCTCCGTATCACCGATCGCCGACCATGGAATCAGCGGCGGTGCTAGTGCTCGTACATAACATCAGGGACAAGAAGTGATGTTTGTAATACAACACTGATGAAGTGGTTCACTATCAGCTCGCTGGGTTGCTGGCTACCTACCTATGTAATATGACTACTCCGACCTGACTCCCTCGGACCCATTCCGCGGCCCAGTTCTATATCCGTACGTAAAATGCGATGCTTCAATCAAGTAAATACGAGTACACGGAGCAGGGCCTCATGCTCCGTCAGCAACTTCCCCTCGGTTCACTGAATCAAGTCATCTAATACAAGAAAAGCCGCTTCTTCGCGTCCTCCACCACCCACGACATGCCCTCATTGAGGTTCTTGCCCGTCATGGCCGACGACGGCAAAACATGCCATTGATGCGTCCGTATATCATGCAACCGCAACAACTAGTGAAAACCTTGTTAGGCACCCATTCAATCCTTCACATGGGCCTCAAAGAATAGCTCACCGTAACAATCTCCTCTTCAGTCATGCACCCATCCACATCCGTCTTGTTTGCAAAAATCAACAAGCAGGCTCCCGCCAAGCGCTACCCTAGACGTTAGCCCTCATCCGCGGAAACTGCAGGCTACCCCGTCACGAACCTCTTCTTCCAGCAGTCCGTGGAGTTCCTCTCTGCAGTCGTCTATTCGCAGCCGATCCGTTGTGTCCACGACCCAGATCAAGGCGTCTGTCTTTTCAAAATAATTTCGCCAGTATGACCGTAGCGTCTTCTGGCCACCCACGTCCCCTATAGAAGTCAGCTGATGCCAATCTTGCCTTGCAAAGATCTGCAAGGGGTCTCTCACAGATGTTTAGCTTGTATCTGTCACCATATTGTTAGTTCTGGGCCAAATTCTGGGTTGGGACAGAAGCAATTACCCTTCGTAGTCAATCGTCTTGATGATAAACCCAAGCGTTGGGCTAACAGTGTTCACATCTTCACCCATAATCTTTTTGACAATTGTCGTCTTTCCGGCATTGTCAAGACCTCTTTTGATACATCAGTCTCTGAAAATGCCAGGGTTGGTAAATAATTTGGCACGTACAACATCAGGATTCGCATCTCTTTATCCTTTAGGCGGGCTTTGCGTAATATGGATAACATGTTGCTGGCTGCCCAAAGATTATTTGCCGAAACCTTGTTGTTCTTGCTTTGGGCGAAAGAGCTTGGGTTAGTAAAGGTCTCTTCTATGTTCTTTCGGATGAGATGAATAGCTGTGTATTTATAGAAGAAACATCAACCTTAGGCACGGTATTGATAGACCCAATGTTTCATTTATTGTCTGCCTGCTAGGTAGCTACTAAAGTACTCTAATCTTGTAATGCGCTGTCAGAAGCACAGCGTTGCACACGTGATGCAGAGCATTCCCCATAGTTTTTCCTGGTTCCTGTCAACTCCTGACACTGCTAAATGAGCTCCCAAATCCATGATTGAGCTATATAGCTTCTTTTATTAAAACAATTGATAAGCAAATTTTGGCTGTAGATGTGTCAGCTGGAATGGCTTCTCAATATCTGGTTTGCGTGGACAAGCCTGGGAGGTACATCATCTCACCTATCACCCAAATAGCAATACCTGCCGCCCCTGATTTACAAGTTGTAGGCGCCGGGGAAAAGGTCCTCGATGTTAGATAGAGGCTGCGTCTCGCGTGCCCACAACACGATGTCAAGCCACTTGCTCTCGTAGTAGCGATCGGTCTTGACGGCACTGCGCAAATGGCACACTTCGTGAAATTCAAACTTTTGCAGGAAACTCGTCACCAGTTTGAGAGCCGGATCGTCTCTGCCGGCGCAGAAGGTCTCCACATAGATCCAGGCGTACTTTCGACGGTTCTGGCATGCAATCGTTTCATACACCTTGGAAGAATCTTGGCATTGCCACTCGTAATCTACCGCTCTTCGGTGGAAAGGTGCTGTGCAAAGCAGAATTCGGTCGAGCAAGGCAGATCCATAGAGCTTGCCTCGGTGGGAAGGATGGACGACGACCTTCACTTGACCGGTATGTCTAGATCCAGGGCATGGACCCCCGAGCAGGCCAATTCGGGCTTCAACCACAAAGGCGAAGCCCAAAACCTCTTGGGGAGCCTTTGCTTGAGTTGAGCGGAATGCGAGGTAGCCTTGGTACGCTTTTGTGGCATTCTTAGGCCAGTTGGAACGGTCAAGCAAAGGGTCCTCGGTCGTCGTGGCGACAATAAAGGGCTGTAGATTATCTCGGCAACCGTCGTATATCTTTTGGACATTAGCAGCGGTGACATCCCTCCATTCTATGATTTGAGGGCTGCTCGTCGCCCGACTTTCCATGTTGATTATAGCCGCGATGGCTTCAAAGTCTTCAGGCGTAGCGGGTCGTACAATGCATTCGGCATTCGGTCCAGTCTCCTGCTCAATAGGCACGGCCTGCACTTGAGGTTTCATCTGAGAACGGAGCTTGGTTGCGAGCAGCTCTCGGCTTCTAATCTCTCTAGTTATTTGCAGCTCGACCGTCATGTTGGCCTGTCGCCAAGCGATATCTCTATGATCACGCGAGGGACCTTCGTGAAGGCTTTTGAAAGTGTCGGGGTAGTGGATTTCAGGCAAGAAGTCTCCCGTTTCGGTATCAATGTCCTTCTTATAATGATTGACCGCCTTCCGAGATGCCAATGAATGGATGGCTGCAGGTGGTTCGGATGTTCGGAGCAGCCACGCCATTGTTCGCGATACGTGGGCGCCCTCGGGCATCTCCTGCCGGTCTGGCTCATCCTGACTGTTGCCATCCGAGAGACCTTCACTTATGTTCCACGAGGCCCTGCTTCCCTGAGACTGCACTTCAAAGCCAGTCAACCCCTCCGTAATTTGTGGAGAGTCAGTGGGAATAGCCTCAGGGCTGATCATCAATCCTCTGGTCTTGGATTCTGGTTCGAGGACTCGGTTGAGGCTCTCGAGGATTAAGTTTCGTGGTTTGCTGCTGGTGGTTTCTCTGTGATCATGCTGGCTGATTTCCGATATACCGGTGGCACTTGGATGCGTAGGATCCTCCGTCATCTGAGCCGAGGCGTTACTGGATGTTTTAGTCTGTGATGAGCTCGGTTGCTCGGTGATTGCGATGGCGACCTCATTGACTGGCTCACGCTTCGCAAGGGGAGAGGACGGAGAGGGGGTCTTTGGCGTGACAGGGCCGTTGTTCAACCACTCTCTGAGACCAGAGAATCTCTTGGTCTTTGCCTCCCCAGCCGGGGTTGGGTTGGACTTTTCAGATGCAGGTGTCAGGTCCATCTCGCTAGTTATCTGTGCGATCAGTAAGTTATTCATGAGATATGGAATGGAGTGAAGGCAATTTACCCTTGGCCCTGTTGAGAACGATGTTGGAGGGAGCAGGTCTTTGAGAGAGAAAAGTTGTTTCGAGAGAAAAGAGAGAGGGAAGGGAATTAAATAGGCGTAGAGAAATGTGTAAACAGCTGCGTGCAGCAACTGCCGGGAGCGCTTGCCAGCTGGCAACCCGAGAGTAGGAGCAGAGATGCCTCTCACGTGCCGTAATGTTACAAGCAATCCGAAGCTGTAACTGCAATATCACTTTACAAAGATGAGCAGTGTGAAGAAATTCGACAGAGTTAATATTTATGCGGATCAATGTATTGGCTTTTTATGCTTGCTAATGAAAGGTCATGGATAGAATGATGAAACTGATTAAAAAGGCGAAGAAGCAGAACATCCCGCGCCATCAAGCAAATTCACTGGCGCTGTAACCACGACTATTATGGCGGAACGGTGGACCAAGGCCTTAACTTTGCAAACATCTATGCTTGAGTCTAGTACGCCTACCTGGGCTTTTGTACATATATTAGGTGATGTTGTTCCTGAATGAACTTCATGTTCCCGTGAAGTCAGTTAACCATGCTCTTACCTTACTCTTGTTCGGGAAGTTGATCCAATTCTCCGACGGACTGAGTTTTGATTGGGAATGGAAGTCTACTATCCCACGTCTACTTACTTATTAATACTAGGGGATGCTATATCTACTATCACATATTTATTAATTAATGCTGGTAAATATTATAGTTTTTATCCCGTGTCTATTGAATGGTACTGGGAGATACTCGAGAAACCAGGCAGCTGCTAAGTAGTAAGTAGAGGCATTTCTTCTGTCTCGGCAGTTGAACTATGAGTAGTCTCTGGGGTGTTGGATAGTCGCTCCTTTTTCTTCCATTGCAATCATGGAACTATAATATCGGAGACGTCGAGACTCTAAGGGATACGGAGACTCCTTATACCATCGATGACCAGTGGACAAATGGCAAATTCCATCATTGAAACCCATTTTGTCTAGATAAGAAAGCGGTATAACTTCAAGTAAGCTAACAGAATGGATCTCCCATACACCAGAGGATTCCCAATTCTATCTGAATGCATTCCGCGATATCACGAATGCTATATATTGTTCTGCAATGTGCGTCCACAATCATCAGCACAGTGATTCTTTAGCTAACTCTCATGAAGCTGGACAGTGCGTGAAGAGGGTTTTTGTCTGCTGAACCTAAGTATACCGAAATCACAACGCTTGGGAACATCAAATGGGCCGCGTGGCCTAATGGCTAAGGCGCTAGATTTCGGTTGAGATCACCTCCTCTAGAGATTCCAGGTTCGACTCCTGGCGTGGTCGGTTGGAAATGTTTGAATCCCATCGTTTCTTTTTTGCACGTTGCTGTTGATACCCTCATATACTGTATCTTTTTTCCCTTGCCCCTCCAGGGAGTTGACTTGGCATATTGAGATAGGTTCCAGGTTAGTAGTGATTAATGCAACTGGGCTCACTACAACCACGTGCAAAGAAATCGATCCCTTGTTCGCAATTGGCTGTGGGGAAGATCACTGATGGATTTACTACAAACAGTAAGACGAGCACGGCTTATAATGATGTGACGGCTGTTCATGGTACTCTATTTGTCTGCTTGTCTATTTTGATGGATGCCGTAAGTCAGCCACGCTTTCTGACGGCATCCGCGACCCTCCAAAACGACTCGGGTTCCCCCAACCGTCCCCAAATGGCTGATTGCGACTATATGTATTACTACTACGGAGTACCTACTACTATACGATAATTGTCTGTGCCGAGTGTTCTTTGTCTTGATGTGTCATGACTTGTGGGGTAGCTTGACGGTTTCTGACCACTAGGAAAAAAAGAAAAAAAAAAAAAAAGAACGAGCGGACCAGCCGAGATCGGATCGCAAACGAAACCGCAGCGGTTGCGCTTATCGTCGTCTTGGAGATTCGGCACAGCTTTGGGCTCGACCATCTGGGCCAAAAGTTTCCGCACCCCGCAAAGGCCAGGCCCAGCAACCCTTGGGAAATTGCGACTCGGGCCGTTCGACCAACCAGCCTTGTCTGGACTATTATAAACAGAGGGCAGTTGAGTCGGGTTGCTTGCATTTGTTTCGAAACGCCAATCGGGCTTCCCTTCAACCATGTCTGCCTCTCTGCCGGGTTCGCGAGACTTGCCCTCGTCGCAGTATGATTTGTCCACCTACTATGGACGGGTGAGGCACACGATAAGCATCACGGATCCAAGGTGAGTCTCGACGATGGATGAATTCGCGAGCCCTGTTGTCGATGCAGAATTGTTGACGTGTATCTTGTTTCTTGTTTCTAGCACTCTGCTCGCTGGTTCGCATGGACTCGAAAATGCTAAAAGACTTGTTACCGAGTATAAGACGGGAAAGCTGCCGCACATGACACCCGAGCTATGGCACGCCAAGAAGATTGTCGACTCAACCCTTCATCCAGGTATGGCATTGGCAGATGGGAACTCAAGTATATGGGCAATCCAAGAGTACAAACTGACGCTTGTGGATAGACACCGGAGAACCAGTGTTTCTGCCCTTCCGAATGTCATGCTTCGTCCTTTCGAACCTAATCGTCACGGCTGGTATGCTACAGCCTGGTCTTGGAACGGCAGGCACCGTGGCATGGCAAGTTGGCAACCAGTCGCTCAACGTTGCCATCAACAGCTCGAATGCGAACAAGTCATCCCCATTGACCACTGCGGACCTTGCCAAGTCGTACGGCATCGCCGTCACGGCTTCGTGCTCGGTGGCCCTTGGACTCAACGCACTGGTGCCGAGATTGAAGGTGTCCCCCAGCACAAGGAACGTCCTCAGCCGACTGGTACCGTTCGCAGCCGTGGCAACTGCTGGAGCGCTTAACGCATACCTGATGCGACGAGGAGAGATTGTGACCGGCATCGACGTCCGCCCTGTTCTCTCCGATGCCGAGAAGAAGAAGCTGACGGAGGAGGGCAAATCAGAGGCGGACGTCCCATCTCTGGGCAAGAGTCAGAAGGCAGCCAAGATTGCCGTCTACGAAACTGCGGCCAGCCGTGTCATCAACAACACCCCTATCATGATTATCCCCGCCATGACCCTCTACCACATTCAGTTCAAGCAGGCATGGTACAAGAACTTGATGGAGAAGGAGTGGCTCAAGGCCCGGCCGCGGATCGCCTCGACCATTCCCATTGGCATCAACCTCGGTCTGATTGCTGCTGTTGGGTTTATGGCACTTCCCCTGGCACTGGCAGTGTTCCCCCAGAAGCAGGCGATTAGTGCCAGCAGCCTGGAGCCTGAGTTCCATGGCAAGGGCGGCAACGATGGAAAGGTCTGGTTCAACCGCGGCCTGTGATGGACGAGACACATTAGCGAGACGACATTGTTGAGTTTTGATGGAAGTTTCTGAGCGTTTAGAGTAGGCTCGTCGACTCCATGACATGCCATGCCAACCATGCCCTCATAAACAGCATCTGGCCCCCGAGGATTACACATTAAGACATAGATGGATGCTTTGGCCGGGAGCATCTAGTGGGGGAGTGGACAAGTTTGGGCGCCTGAAATTGTTGCATAGACTTTATGCGTGTTTTTTTTTTCACCTTTTTTTTTGCGCGTGTTCCTGTTCAGACAGTAGATAAGAGATCACAGCGAGTCAATATCATGGAGCAAACCAGATTAACGTCGTATGTATAATTGAAGGGAGAAGTGCAATGAGGTACTACAGAACGAATGCCTCCTGTTCTATATATACTTGTATATATATATATATAGTGCGGCTATCTACCACCCCAGGTCTGCTATTCAGCATCCCATATCTTGGATTTGAAGCTAACTGCGATTGATACTACCATATACAAGAGGAATATAGCTGGAGTAGCATATCCTAAAAGAGAGTAGTGATAGTAGCAGATACTCAAAGAACCGGGCATCTATTTACTGCCCAGGATTTAACATTATATACTGCATGATTTACTTGGATACCAAGGAAGTGGGATGCCGTATGGTCCTCTCTGTTGGTAGAAGAGGCACCCTCTGTATCGGCACAATACTCCGTACCTACTTGAACGAGTTTTCCAGGTGCTGTGTAGGTAGCCACTCCCTACCTACTCGTATGCTTGCGACACTGAAACATCCAATGTGAATTACAAAGCCTATTGCGGAATATGTGTATGCTGCTCAATTCCTTGCATCCACGTGTCAACGCAGATGGAGCCTGCGTTCTCAGTTGGAGGATCTCGGTTGGAGGCTTATGTGAGGGCTTGGGCTTATGAGCACGACTAAATTTACAATGCCTTCCGCTCCAGGAATAATTCTGCTAGCAAAAACGCTTGTGTTCTGCCTATGCGAAACATTATTAGAAACTCGCTTGCTGACAACGCATCTTCCCACTTGGTATACTCTGGCGCACAGTTGCCGAGCGGTCAGAAAGAGGAATGTCGATGGATGGATCGGAGGGACGGCATGCAGACAATGGGGGGACCTGGACGTCAGCAGGATTACTTTGCAAATGCAGGTACAGCAGCACGCAATGGATGTCTTTTGTTCAGCATTTTTGAGGGATTTCACAAGCTTCGAAACTATTAAAGGACACTGATGAAAAAGGCACAGAGGCCCCGTCAGCTCATTGCCACATGATCAGCGTACGGTGGACGGTGTGCGAGAACACATGGTGATAACTGTTGCTTTGTGCCCGGAGCAGCCCTGCCCGCATCGCTGCTAGACTGGCTGAAATGGATCTAGAAGATTGGCCTGGCCCTTGGCTCGCGTAAGACGTCGACGTGATTTGCCTATCAGAGGCTGGGCAAGCAGGTGGAGAGAAAGAGGGCCAGGTGAGCGGGCTTGTAAACTGGAGACACTCACGCAAGTTACATGCAGGTAGGGCTTTTAATGTGCGTGAGTGACGCAACTGGACAGCAGAGTGCTGTGCCATGTGCAAACGGCGAGACAGAGACAAGGAACATTGTTAACCCAGCGAGCGTCGAATCGAACGGCTTCCATGGCGATTCCCGAGTAATGCAAAGGAGGGGGTGGATGGGATGGGAAGGGAAGGGAAGAGAGAGAGATGGCGTATCGGTGGCTTGTCGACAAGGCCAAGGCGCAAGGCCGAGTGCAGCGGCGCGGTTCGGACGGGTGTTGATTAACGGGCACCGCGACTTGGCACCAAGTTGTTTCTCGCGTTCCGTTTCGCCTGCACGAGAGGAGAGAGAGGAGAGAGGAGAGGCGAGAGGCGAGAAGGGGGGGATGATGGTTTGTTGCATCGAGAGGGCATCCATACATGTAGATTTGCCATTTAGCCTCTGTTCACGCGGACGGGCGAATTAGAGCAACGCGGCTATGGGATTGCATGTTGCTTTGGGCGGGTGGGAGAAGCCGAAGACGAAAGACGAAGACGCCCAGAATGCTCGCACATGTGAAGGCGAATGAGGGTGACATAATGGCCTTTTGCCTTGTGGGCACTTGTATTAGTAGGGACAGAAGGGAGACAAGGCGCGACTAAGAGATAACGTGTGCTCCAGACTCGACTCCATACTGTAACCTTGCGAAAGCAAAGGCGTGAAAGAGCAGAAGCAGAGTTTGGGTGGCGAAACCGGGAGACAACGGGCCCCCCCTCGAAACTTGCTTGCGTGAATGGCTCTTTGCGAACTAGAATCTTGTCGGACCGGGTCTAGTGGAGGGCCATCGGCACGGACGCTGCATGGAGGATAAATTGGATTTCCTGGGCTTTTAATATCAAGAGCCACGCTCTGGTCTCTCGTTGGAAAAGCTGGGTTGGATTAGGAAAGGCGCGGGGACCGCGGTATGCGTGACTTTGCGAGTTTAATGCAAGTCGGACGCTGGCTGGGAGGGTTTTTTGTTTTGTTTTCCATGCGTGTGACGTGCGAGCGAGAATGCCTGCGCTACGGCACTCGTATGTACTCCGTATGTTAGTTTGGGGGATTTTTGGGATCATATCAGGGAGCAGAGCAAAGCAGCAGCTGAGGGTTTTGATTCGCCGGGAAGGGGGGGGAGCCCTCGTTGGTTTTCCCTTTTTCCTGAGCTTCGAATGCGAGCAATGAAACCCTCTGGGCCTCTGGACAGTGCACGAGGGCCCGCGGCGGAGATGACAGGATGGGCCGCGCTTATTATATCTCTGCGGGCTTGGAGGCGTTGCTTTTCTTTTTTTGGCCGTTTCTTCCTTGTGCAAGGGTTTTGGCGACGACGATGCCTGTAATTGGAACCTTTTTTTTTTTTTTCCCTTTTCCAGGACGGACTCGGTCATCTTTGTACGACGGTCTGAAAAGGGCAGTCCGGAGAGCGGCAGGCTGGGATCCTGCTTTTCTCTCTTTACCGTTCTCTCGTCTGTCCTGTTTCTTTTTTTTCTTACAAATAGTTAATGTTGCTGCTATCTGCCGGGGGTTGATTTGATTTGATTCCATTCCAGATAAAAGATATATTGACGCATGACCGTCCGTGATAGACGGCTCCAGGCAGACGGACCCTCATCCTTCGGCTGGCCGCCCTGATAAATCCGACAGACGCGGTTGGGCTTGGGCTGAAGCTGCTCCTGTTTCTGCTGGTCTCGTATGGGAGAGTCTCATGCCGTGCCGTATCACACGCCGCCCATCTGTCTGGTCTGGTCTGGTCTGGCCTGGCTACGGGCCGCACCCACGGCCTTGGACTCTGTTTTCTCTCTCGCTCCACCCATCCCTGGGTTTGGGTTTTTGTTCCTTTTTTTGCCCCAACAGCTAAAACTTGATTATCGACAGCGGCGCTGTTGGTTGTCCGGCGTTGTAGAGATCTGAGAAGCACATGCCGGAGTGGAAGCGTGCTGTGTTTCATTTTGCCTTTTTCTTTTGTGACCGTAACCGGGACTACTTTATTAGTAGGAGGTAGTAGTGGACTGCCTAAGGGGTGGTCCCTGCGCTATGGGACGTATGGATGACCTGTAAGTACCTGAATGGATGGATCGTAATTGATGACACTTGATCTATTGGATACGTGCCTCATGTTTGATTCAGTTTGAAGTCGTCTTTGCATTTGTACTTGAGCCAGGAGTTGTGCTTTGGTTGCTGAGCCTTTTCTTCCTCTTCTCATGATTTCCCCTTTCTCTCCCCTCCCCTTTCATGCTGGTAGCATCAAACTTTGGACTTGCGTCGTTTGCGTATCATCAATTAATGCTTTGTGGCAAAGAGTGTCTGGTCGTGGTGGCTAGTATTACGGGGAACCCGCCCAACTTTCAGCTTAGTGGATTTGAGGAGGCTCTCGGTAAACCATGGATGGATCAAATGTACATACGTACAGTACGGAGTATACGGGCGCAGGTTGGATTCCGTGGTGACTTTTGGCTGGTGGCAGGTCAACAGCGTCAGATTTACGGCGAGCTATTCAACGGGGAGGAATTCCAGTGATTTGATAGAACCTCATTATCCTTCCATGTTCTTTTTTTGATCTCGGTAATCAACGACACCAGAGACGAATCGCGACAAAGGGACCTGGCTGGGGAGCAACAAATTGAGTTCAACTGCCCAGGCTGGTTTGCGCTCGCCTCCAGGGCCCCTGCAGGGCGCCATGAGTCCCGACTTAGCGCTGTCTAGCGCCTGGAGTCCATTGAAAGGTTGGGGTTGGCAGGGCAGTGCTGAGCGCGGGAAGCACACAGCACAGTAGATGATGGAGCCTCACTCGAATTGATCTCAGCAGCCAGCCCAGTGTGCATGTCTTCCTCACGCCATTTACTCACGGCCGTCGTCCAGACTCAATTCCAGCCCAATTCATCTTCCTGCGGCTTCTTCCAAACCCTCATGATTGCTCCGGACGAGCGCTGCAGTTCTCTAGCCCCTGGCCTGGACACGAAAAGAGCAACGGCCCAGCCTCCAAATCTACTTTGATCGGGCACACTTTTTTGCCTTTGGATTTCTCTCCCGCTACGACGCAGCCGCTGTGTGTTCCATTTTATGGACGCTGTGGGCTGCTAAAACGCCTAAAGACAGCGCTCTTCCCTGCACCGTCATCTGGTCCAGCTCGGAGAATCGCCTTCTCGTTCTTTTCAACTTCAACTCGGACGTTGAGAAGCAGGCAGGCAGAGGCTCTCGGTCCTCTCGCACGACGTATTGCTCCGTCTCACCACCGCCAGACCGCAAGCCAGCGCGTGTTTTGGTCCTGGGGGACTGTGGCAGAGGATTTGAAATGTCGACACCTACAACCGCAACGGCCCTTCTCCCGCCGACTCACTACCGCCTCCACCCTCCATACTCTTCCAACTATCGCACAACAACCACCGCGAACTCGCTGCTGCCCACAACGGCAGTCGTCGACCACCAGCCGGCGTTGCAGAGCCCGGCTCGCCCTCAGCCCTACTACTACCATCACCAGCCTGCCGCCAACGCGGGCTACAGTCTGCCGGATGGCGTAGCCCAGAGCTCACAACCCGTGCCTCGACCCCCTCACGGCCACTACAGCCATCAAGACTCCAACCCGTCCGCGACTGCTCGCTTTGACGACAGCTACGCTTCCACCATGCCAAACACGACGACGACGAGTTCCGGCGTCGCCCCTGCCGCTGGCCGCCCTGTCGCTGAGGACCAGCCGTCCAGGAAGCGTCGGCGCTCTCGGGAGCCCGATTGGAACAATTTCTACCGGAACGGCCTCCCCAAGGAAATCATTGTCATTGACGACACGCCCGAGCCTGAGGCCAACACGGGCCGCAAGATCACAAATGGTAATGCCGTCGTGCCCGACTCGGCCGCCGCCGCCGCCGCTCAGCAGGCCGCGAAAAAGCGAAGACGAGACGACCCGCCGCTGGGCTACCACGTCCAGTATTTGGGCGGTTCGCACACGGGCTCGCACACAAACACGCCCTTGCCCAACGCCACGCCTGCTGGCTCTACCCTCTCCAGCGACCGAACAAACTCGGCATTGAATACCACCGCGCCCACGTCTCTGTCGTCAAATAGCCAGTATGATGAGCTGGCCGCGCCATTAAAGCGCAAGCGCACCACCCGCCAACAGGCTGCCAACGAGGCTAAACGAAGGGATGTTGACGGCCTGGGAGGCGCCTACATGGCCTACAAGCCTCCCCCCTACCCTCCCAAGAAGTCTGCTGAGGTTCCCGTCAGAGTCATTCATGATGTAAGTCTGAACCCGGGCTGCCTCTTTTTTTTCTGTTTACGCTTAAAGAGAGCGAAAAAGAAAAGGGTTCGATGAGGAATCGCCACCTGCTAACTCCTTCTTCTCCCCCCATCACAGCGTCACTATAGCAAAAATGCCAAGGTCGATGATGATGATGGTCACTACATCGTCGTCCCAGATGCGGGACTTACTGAAAAGTGTACGTACAAACAGGACAAGCCCTTCTCCTACGCGGCCATTGACAGCTGACGCCTTTGTTTCTAGACCAGATTGTCCGTCTCCTTGGTCAGGGTACCTTTGGTAAAGTGGTCGAAGCCAGGGATATCAAGAGAAACAAACCTGTGGCTGTCAAGATCATCCGATCCGTCCAGAAATATCGCGACGCTTCCAGGATCGAGCTTCGCGTATTGGCTACGCTCAAGGCCAACGACGAAGAGAACAGGAACCGGTGCATTCACCTGCGAGACTGTTTCGACTACCGCGGCCACATCTGTATCGTCATGGATCTTCTGGGCCAAAGCGTTTTCGACTTTCTCAAAGGCAACGGCTTTGTACCTTTTCCCAACAGCCAGATCCAGAACTTTGCCAGGCAACTGTTCACCAGCGTGGCATGTAAGTACCCAAAGAACCGAAATCTCAAGCAAAGGAAATCGGGGGCAAAAACTGACTGGACATCTTCTAGTTCTTCACGATTTGAACTTGATTCACACTGACCTCAAGCCGGAGAATATTCTCTTGTGCGATAACTCTTATCAAACATTTACGTATAACAGGAAGATTCCTTCATCGTCTACCACGATTAATAGGCAGGCATCTCAGCGGCGGGTGCTTCTTGACACCGAGATTCGTCTGATCGATTTTGGATCAGCCACGTTTCAAGATGAATACCACTCGTCGGTTGTCAGTACCCGCCATTATCGTGCCCCCGAGATCATCCTCGGCTTAGGCTGGTCTTTCCCCTGCGACATTTGGAGCATAGGATGCATCCTGGTCGAGTTTTTTACAGGCGATGCCTTGTTCCAGACACACGACAATCTCGAACACTTGGCCATGATGGAAGCCGTCGTTGGCTCTAGGATAGATACCCATCTTGTCCAAGCGGTCAACAAGATGTCTACCAGGAGTGGAGGGAATCCCGCTTCCAAGTAAGCAACCGCCACCCTCGATCAACGACAATGACCCTACTGACTAAATATCTCGCAGGTACTTCAAGAGACTTAGGCTCGATTATCCAACCCCCGACACAACTAGGGGTTCCAGACGGTTTGTTAAGGCCATGAAGCACTTGAGCGTAAGATTCTGTACCCCTCCAGCTATTGAAACGTGGCAGCGAAATAACAGGGCGACTTAGGACATAATACCTTCAAACTCAACCTTTTTCAAGAACTTCCTTGATTTACTGAGGAAGATCTTCGTCTACGATCCTGCGCACCGCATCACGGCCAAGCAGGCCCTCAACCACCCGTGGTTCAAAGAAATGGCCCAGCCTGACGACGGAACAGAGGCCGCCAAGATTCGCTTCGAACGGAGACGACTAGAGGTGGACAAGGCGAGACAGCACGCCCACTACGTTGGATGAAGTATAACCAAGGACGAGCCGACATATTTCGTTTTATAATGACTACATAAGCATGATCAGATTCCGTGGTAGCGCACACACACTGGATGTGTATAGGGGGGAAAGTCCATTTTCCCGCTGGAGGGGTTCAACATGACCCTCCGGTAGATTTGCCATTGTACTTTAGCGCTTTGAGCTGTTGCAGTTCCAACTTTCTTTTCTCTCTCCCTTTTCTCTTCCTTTGTTGTTTCATTTGTCCTTCATTTCTTTTTTCTAGCGTAGGGTTTGATCTCACAGGTTCATCGTCCTGGGAGGGTTGGCGTCCACAATCACGGATTAGGGTGAGAACCGGGGACGGTTATAACACGACGGAGCTGGGAAGGGAGGGGGCGCCTCGTTGTTGGTGGACGAAGTGTGCAAAGGTCTTCTCGAAAAATCTAATATACCCTCCACAATTGCGATATCAAAATGTCTGAACGTCTTGACTTGGTTTAACTTGAATATGCTCGTGTTCAGATGATGGTTGCTACGGGAACTCGTGTGGACTCGGGCAAAGCGGCTGCACGTCTTTTCATAGGAAGAGGAGGAAAGAAGCAGGAGAACGGGATGAAGATGAAGACACGTCTAGCCTTGCTGGATAATCAACTTTGACAGTGCCCTCGATTCGCGAATACGGTTAGAAAGCAGGGTCGAAGGCATGCTCGAAGCAAGTCAAGAGGATGTTGACTGACCAGGTTCGGCCGTGCCATGCATGCTGCCGAGAGGATTGTCTTTAAGGGGTTGCACATTTTTACAAAGACATGGCATGTTCACTCCTACGCATTTGTCCAAGTTATACGAGGTTGCCCGACTACGTATAATCTTCCGTCTATGCGAAGGAGTTACTCGGCTGGATGACTGGCAAAAGAGAGAGAAAATGTAGCCATGGAGGAGAAAAGGGGCAGCAAAGGTTTTGTCCTTGTGGCATCTGCATCATCTCTCAGAGATTAATGCGTCGTTGATCAACCTTCTTCCTCCCCCTTTTTGTTGTTAACAACAACAGCCTTGACTATGTTTTGAGTCTCCTCATCATTATTGTTAACCATCACTGGAAAAGGAGACAGATGCGGAACCATGCCGTGGTTCGTTAAGCGGCGAGACCCAGCTCTTGCAGACGTCTCCGATGAAGCCCTTCAGCAGCTCACCAAGCTGCTTTACATGGATACGTCCGACTACTTTGGCCATCGGGCCAGAGAATGGCTCGTGAAACAAGAGCAGCAAGTCAAGGGGCTTGACGTTGCGCTGCTGCGTCCAAGGAATCTGTTGGCACGCCTCACTCTCGGGGTTTGTGGATACAGATTACCCATTTACTCGGAAGGGCCGAGACTATGCGCGGCACATGAAGCCCTGGATTCGAAGATTATCCGGTGTATATTGCAGTTGGTTGCGGATGAGTGTACGATGCAGACGAACCGGTATCGCAGCCTACGACTCAAGAAGATGCTGAAACCTTCGCTGGGGGGTTGGATGGGGAGAATCGATTCTATAACGGCGCTTTGGCTGGGAGAAGACAAGTTTCGGCGTGTCTTTGGGTGTCGTCTTAGGGGCGAGATGCCGGATTGCGCCGGGATCAAATGTGAGGCGTGTATGCTTGCTGTGATTGGTGGCTCTTCGATTCATCTTACGGATCTTCGGGCAAATGTGTTGGCGAGAAAGGCGTATGGTACGGAGCTTACGGGGCGGGAATGCAAGCGGCCTCGATTGCTACGGGTGATTGACTCGTGGATGTCACACTTTCAGGAGGACTGCCGGAAGGATATTTGTGAATGTAGCGAGGCCATGGTGAGCGACATTGTCGAAATGCGCACTATGGCGAGGAGGAGGAGAGACAGACGAGATGAGAGACGCAGGAGGAAGGGAAAGACGCCCGGAGTGCGCAGTGATGTGAGGATGAGGTTGACGGAGGAGGGACTACCGATTCCACGACAGCCGAGACTGAGAAGGCGTGATAAGGAGAGGCTTGTTAGGAAGAATGAGAAGAAGATGGAGACGCTGCTGTCACTTCAGGAGACGGTGGTTGAGCAACAGGAACAGGAGTTGGAATTTGTTGCTCTGCTTGTTGTGGACAAAGATTGTGATTGCGTGAGAACCAAATCCTCGAACTGCTCTCAGAAGAACAACGATACTACCGAGACGATAACAGACTCCAAATCTAATGGAGGAAATCAACACGATTCTAGGGAAGACCGGCCATTAGACAAAGATACACGGGAAAAAGAAGCCGTCGACGAAGAATTCCTAGTGCGATCACAGCTCACCCCTGACGACGACACGTTTTGTAAAAGCATCCGCACACGAAACAAGCTCGACTACAACACAAACACAACGTCGAGCTGGACAAGCAAAGTCGACGAGGATTCACCACTCATCGTTCAGGCGCCTCGCGTCGAAGAGCTGTTGACTCGCGAGCAGACATCGTCGAGCGTGTACTCTTGCGACGAGGCCGTCAAAAGCAAGACGAAGATGACGATGTTTGATGAGGCGCTTTCGGCGCTTTCTGGGTTTACGCGCGAATCAGCGTCGTTGTGGTTGATGAATGGGAACAAGGATCATGCTAAGGCGGGGACGGAGAGGAGTAAAAATCACAAGACGGCATTGGCAATGTTGGAAGGGAGAGAAGAAGAAGAAGAAGAAGATGATGATGCTGCGTCGTGTTATGAGACGATGGGGTGGGGAGGACCCAGCAGGTGATAGATTCTATACTTGCTTGTATCGTTGAAGAATGGAGTATTGGCACTAGTATACGGGCTGTGCTATATAACACATGAAGATGCAGGGGTGGTATATACATAGGGAGAGAATGGGCGGCCAAGTGAGAATACCTATAGTCTTTTTTTCGGAGGAGATGAACTCAGCTCGACATGTCTGGTACATGCAAACGAGCAAGTAAACCTGCAGAGTGGCAGGAGATTCTACATCGAGCATCGTCTCCATCCATCTTAAACAATGCTTGGGTTTGGATCATCATCCTCATGATCGCTATATATACATACATACATACATATACACGCAACTCAATCCGCCAGCTTCTCCATAAACCTCTCCACCGACGGCAAATAGCATGCCGCCTTCTGGAAATCCCCCAGCTTCACAGCCATAAAATCAAACGCCAACAGCACATCGTGCTCGACGCCCTCGACGCGCTCCCTCCTCAGCGAGTCCGACTTGGAATATCGCTGCGAAAAGTGCGTCAGCAGAGTCCGCCGCGCGCCCATCTCGCGTGCCACCCAGAGCGCCTCGCCCATGGTGCTGTGCTTCTTGGCCTTTGCGTGGTCCTGCTTGTCGTCGCCAAAGGTGCATTCGTGGACCAGGAGGTGCGCGCCATGGCATTCCTGTGCAAACAGCTTCGACGGCCGGCAGTCACCAGAGTAGGCGATTTTGAGACCCGAGGTGAGCTCCAGCTGCGTGCCAAACGAGCGCCAGCAGTGGGGAACGGGAACTCGCTTGATGGAAGCAAGGCCAAAGTTCTCTTCGCCGAGGTCCTCGCGGGTCGTCAGGTCTCGGTCTTTCTCCTTTGGCCAGGGGCAGCTGGGGAAGCGCAGTCGATGGTAGCCGATATCCTCGATTTGGGACAGCTCCTCCAGCAGGATTCGGTAGCGCCCAATGCAGGATATTGCGAGTGTAGCGTTGCTGTTGTCTCTCAAGGTCTGTTCATACCAGGCCTTGATGAGTGAAGGGGTGCCCATGTGATGGTCGGCATGGACGTGGCTGATAACGATGCACCGCAGGTTACGCAGAACATCTGCGGCTTCTTCAGCGCCAAAAAGACGTCGAATCTGGCCCAGTGTTCCCTCACCACAGTCGAGGAGATAGTTTCCGATTCCAGGAACTCGGATCAGCGTGGCAGAAACATTCCTGTATTTGCTGGGAACAGATGAACCCGTGCCGAGGGGGACAATCTCTGCGTCACGGTTCGGGATATCAAACTCTTCCTTTTCAACCCGTTCTAGAAATTTGGGGTCTGTGGCTTCGGCGCGAGCCTCTTCGGCCATCTCGAGGACCTCGTCGTCTACGGAGTCGTAGGCCTCGACCAAATCGGGAAAAGGAGCAATGGCTTGGTCGTCGAATACAAGACGCGGCATGAGCTGGAATTTTTGTCCAGCACGGCCCAACTCAATCGGAGAGCCTTCTGAAGGGGCCGGGTATTGGACAGTGTTCTCGAATTTGAGGAGAGGGAATCTTTCGGGATCGATTCGGCGCAACTTGGTCTGGATAGTAGCGGCACCGGGGTGTGTAATCATGTTTGGGCATGCCTCGTCTGCGCAAAAAATGTGCTTAATGCTGGCATGCTGCTGGATGAATTGCTGGATTCGTGCGTCGCTGGTCATGTTTGGCCCCAGGATCCAGTACATGACGGCGACGTTTTCCATTATCTCTTTGCTCTTCCACTCAGGTCGCTCCATGAAGGCCTCGACGAAGTCCTGGCTGCTAATATCCGCCACAATGATACCTCTCCCCCGTTGGGTCTCTCCGAGAACCATTTCGGGTATCACCAGGCCATCCTTTCCCCGGACACTCTGGCCTGCAGTAAGGAGTTTAAAGTCCCGAGGCTCGACTCCTAAAGATTTCGCCACAGGAGCATTGAACTTCCCTCTGCGGTCATGAGTCTTGATGACGTAGCTCATAGATGTCTCGCCGTATGTGGTCCTGGGAAGGGGGAAGTGGTTGATTGCAAGAACGTTATTATTGCTCCGGTCATCCACCCCAGTCTCCCCAATATCTGGGAAATGCCACACGATATCATCCGGATTTGGAACCTCTACGCTGTCAGCCATGTAAGGCCCCTTGTACATCCTGATTGTGCCATTTTCCACTACAGCAGCTTTATCTGTGGATTTGAGATCTCGGATCTTCTTGGGTATCAACACGGATCTGTTCTTCAAGCTGCCATTGAACATGATCCTCTCGACTATCGCACTCGCAACTTCCGGGTCCGAAACAGATGGTCGCTGTTGAAATATGGTATCCTCTGGAGACGCATCGCTGTGCCGCCTCTTACGGGGGCTACTCGATCGTTCTCGCCGTACCGGGATCTTCCAGACCTTGATGGCATCATCTGACCAATCTGGCTCGATGTTCGCCGCGTCTGCAGCTCGCGGGTCTGTCCTGTGCTCGTGGGTCCGCACGCAAATGGGTTGTCGAAAGATGACGGGCCGGCATGCTGCCAGCGTGTGGCACAGGTTGTCCGCGCCGTGCACCGCAATCCCGGCATGAAGAGTCTTGTTAAGAAGCTTCTGGCCCTTTTGCTCTCTCTTGACATTCTCCAGCGTCGTGAACTCTTTGGCTGACTCAATAGCTCCGCCAACACTCAGCAGATAGCCACAGAGGCCACCCAACTGCTCCCAGTTCACGCTACCGCTGAGGAAGACGTGCTCTGTCCCTCCCATGTGTATTTTGCGGCTTCCAAATGCTCGCTGCGTTCCCTCTGTGACGCGACCAAACACATACGAGCGCTTGTCGTGATGCATGTATATACATGTGCCTGGAGTGTCGACCGAGGGGACGGCGGCAAGCTCGACTGTGGTCGTCATGGTGGTGGAATCGGCGTGAGTCTTTTTGAAGCTTTTAGAGTAGAATCGTATATGATGATGTTGTAACGGCAGATGTGAAGTGTGTATCGAGCTGTCTAGTCGCGATTGCCGCGGTCTCGTGGGATTGTTGGAGAGAGAGGTAGAGTATCTGGCGATGGAAAGACCGGGAATGGCAAGCTGTCGCGTCCGTCTACCAGCAAGAGAGGAGAAATGTCGAAGCGGGGATGATACGGAGTAGACGAGGCGCCTGGATACACATGGTTCCATCAGCGGGAGAGGAGGAAAGGAAAGGAAAAAGACGAGGAGAGACGCTTTGCAGTCTGCATTGGCAGCTCCAGGCGCAACCCCACGATGACTTTTTTTTTATGCGATAGAGCCGATAAGCAGCACTTTAGCTGCCTGGCGGGGCAGCCACATGCTAGCCTTGCCACCTACCTGAGGTACCTATACTTTTCTCATATATGCTCTCTTCACAGGGGCCATCTATAGATTTATCATGATGTGTCTATGAATTGACTTATAATGTTGTGATAACCTGGTTTGAATATACCTTCCATTAAATAGTAGCCTTTGCATAAACACATGTATACATCTGCATCTGCATCTGCATTTACATCTACTTGCGATTCGCTCGCTTGCGTGCCTTGGCCTCCCTCTCGTAAGCATTCGCTTCTCGTCCCTCCTCGTTCTGAATCTCGGAAATGAGTCTCTTGTACTTCTTCTCGTAGGCTTCGTCCTTTGCCTTCTTGACCCGGAGGTTCTCCCTCGCCATAAAGTTGGCGTCCTTCCGCAGCTCCCGCATGGCGCCCTTGCGCTCCTTCTTGTGCTCGGCCCTGAGTTTGGCCATCTCGGCCCTCTCACGATCAGGATCGTAGTGCTTATCGGGATCAAATGTCTCCTCAAACTTGGGTATATACGTCTTGATTGCGAGGGGTTTGTGGTGGTGAAGCTCCAGAGGCCGGCGTGATAGCTGTGAGACTCGCGACATCCTCTTCAGCTTCTCCTCTAGCCTCTCTGCTTTTTCACTTACAGCTGCCGGGAGGTGCTCTCGTGATGACTTGCTGTTGATGTGACTCAAAACTTCAATGGCCTGGCTGAAAGTCTCCAAAAAACCAGACTTTCCAGTCCACAAGTCTGCAGCGGCGTCGAGCAGTTGAATCGTTGTGGTAAGCAGAGAAACCTTGAGAGCATTGCCCCCCTGTGAAGTTTCAGGCAAGCAGTCGGAGAAGTTTAGACGCCTTAGCCCAACAGCCTTGGCTTTCTGAATGCGGCTACCAGCCGGTGGTTCATGGATCGGGAAGTTGCCCAAGAGATGTGACGGGGCTGTTGGTGAAAGGGAGCAGATTGTGTTGAGGGAGAAGTTGATCACCTCGGGAACATAGCGCTTGGCCAACTGTTGATACTGCAGGGACAGAATGGACAAGTATGTTCCAATGGCGTAATCCGACATCTCTCGAGGCACCTTTTGGCCAATGTACCGGCCAATTGTGAGCATTGCAGGCGTCACAACCTGGTGGAAGTGATCAGACGTTGGGAAGATGGTCCCAATCGCTGTAAGAAGCGTCAAGTCTGACGGCTGCAGCGCAATGGGCCGAGTCTGGCTGATCTCTCCAAGATGATGCCGGAACTGCCTGGCAATTTCGATGGGAAACATCTTGGAGAGGGAGTGAATGTGACGCACAAGGCTCTCCAAGATGGAGAAGGCTGGTGATGTCTCTGAATTCCAAGGAAGAGCCACAAAGTCTACCAAGGCCACAGCGAAATTCGCCAGTCTTTCCTTGTTCTTGCTGTCAAGTTTGGGATGGTGTAGCGCTCGAATGCGCTGGACGATTTTTGGCAGGTTTGCCTGGTCGTAATCTTTGGTGATGGACACAAACTCAGAGCATGACTGAGGGCAAGGGAAGGTGAATGGTAATCCGTTCTCGTCGTTCTTGTCATTGGAAGAGAAGTTTGCTTGGAATATGGGGTTTTTAGTTTCTGCTTCATTCAATAGACCCTTTGTGAATTCGTCATCGTCATCTTCATTATTCTCGGCTTGGCCTGCGGAGCTGTCGTCATCTTCTTCGCCGTCATTGTCAAAACCGTCGTCGCTGTCTGCAAGGTCCAGATCAGATCCACTAGCCACCAGGTCGTCTTCTATGATGAAGTCATCCTCATCATCAAAGCCCAGCTCCGTCGCTGTTGGTCTAGCCTTGATACCCTGTCCGAGGCCGAATCCATCGTCATCGTCGTCCTCCTCCTCCTCCATATCGCGAGAAACTTGGTCGCGTTTCTTATCCTCTTCTTCTTCTTCGCTGTCTGATACTTCTTCGCCCATCATTCGCTTCTGGCGTTTGTCTTCAAGCTTCCTGAGTCGGGTAGACTCTTCTTCCGCCTTCTCCTCGTCTGTCTTGGTGCGATTGGACGGTTGCGCCCTCTTGTCTTGTGCCAATCGTTTGACTTCAATATCGAAATTCTTGTCAAAGGCGTCTCGTTCGACGCCCGCAATGGCAGACAACGGCGCAGCATGGTCTTGACGCTTTGCATCATTGAGACCAAACCAGAGAAGTTGTTTAATATTGGGAAGTTCCTTGTCGAGCTGCGCCCGAAGGTCTTCGTCGTCATCTTTGGCCGCTTGTCGCTCGTATCTGTGAAGCTTTGACTTTGCAATGACTTCTTCCATGACCTCTTTCTTTGTCTTTTTGCGCTCAGGTTCACCCTCTTCGCCCTCCTCTTCACCTGCTGCAATGATGGCGCGCAGGCGCTTCAGTCGCTTCTCGCGGCTTGAGCCGTCGCTATCTTCGCCATCCTCCTCGAGATCATCTTCGTTAAAGTCGTCCACCAGATCCTCCTGGTCGTCAAAAGCCAAGGTTCGCCCCATGTGTGTCAAACCATCCATTGGTTCGTCATCCTCCAGATCGAAAAGAGAATTCTTCTTGTGCGATTTCTGCTTTTCTCTGGCAAATCTTTCCAGCATTTTGTCTTCAGGTGTCATCGTTGGGTCGTTCTCGCCGAATCGTCGATCCAGAATACCGCCGACCTTGTTACGACGCTGCATATCCACGAGGAGGGTTTGCTTGCGCTATTGTATAGAGTGTCAGAGAAATAATTGGCAAGCAAGAGGGAGAGGCGCCTTCATACCTTTTCCTCGGCGGCAGCTTTGGCCAAACCAGGTCGTCCCTTGATGGCAGCATTTCCAGGCTTCGGCCGATTGGTGGTCACCTCGAACTTGGGCCCGCGCGCAGCATGTTTGAGGTCAAACGGGTTGAATTGCTCTCGAATGCCCTCCAGAACAACGCCTCTCTGCAGACGCTTGTCGTTCCGAGACGGGTCATCCTGAGCCTGCTTCCGCCGCTGCTTCTTGGACTTTTGAGGACCTGTGATTCCTTGTTCTCTCAGAGACGCCTTTAGGCGCTTGAGCTGGGAGCCGGCCATAGTCGGCGATTGCTTGTCCTCCGCGACCAAATCTTTGATCACGAAAAGTTGCCTGCTCACAGAAACATGGCTTGCTACAGCGAATCGAACTTGCTAAATTTTTTGACGGCGGCTTATCGATAGCAGCGCCTAGCGCAAATGTCGTTGGTGGGGACAAGCAGAAAAGGTGGGTACGTGCTTCACTTAGTGGGACGTGACTTAAACTGAGCTTCGTCAAGAAGCTTCCACCTATGACAACATCATCAGCAACCGTATTGACAGCAATATCTTCACCGATCTTCCCCATGTGATCCCGCCGGAAAAGAGGCACTCGTGGGACGACATGAGCTGGACACGCCGGCTCTTATTATTTGCACGCGATGAGCGAATAATCTTAGTTAGTATCGGGCTGGCTACGTTTGGCGTGGTTAGTACCATCATCACAGCTCTCACGTTTATTCGAGATGACAATGAGATTCCCCCGTCGGAGCCCAAGACGCAGTACATCACGCAGGACACCGAGGACTCACTTCAGTCAGACACGCTGGAAAAGCTTCTGGACCATCCAAACTTCTCAATCAAAGAAATTGCCGTCAAGATTCTTTGCGACAGAGCTGCCAATGACCCTCAAGTAATAACATACATATGGTTCGGGATCACTCGACCAGATTACGAAGAGCGGATGGACTCCCTGAGGACACTTGCTGTGCTCACAAGCCAGACAGGAAACGAAGGGCTGGCGAGACTGCATGATTACAGAGCCTACTCCGCCTTGGTGCGGTGCATGGAGCTGTGCATGGAGAGCGCCGATCTGCCCGACGTCACTGATATTCATTGGGACGAATACTTTCTCCGTGACATGGGTGAAAGATTCTGCCTCATGTTCATCACAGAGCTGATTAACAAATACGGGGCCACGATGCTTGTCAAGGCCAAGTTTGTTGAGAAGTGGCTTGCAAAGCAAGATTGGGGGAATACTGCCGAGGAAAGGCGTCGCAACTTTAAAGACTACATGGAGTTTCGAAACAACCGGATAACCGACATTGTGAACCGCATCAAGCATTCACGGCGGGGCTTACGAGCTTTGGAAAAAGCAGGGCTGATCGACAAAGAAAGCTCTCGACGTAGAATGAGAGAGCTTCCCGATCTGCTCATGGAAGTGGAAGAGGAGATTGCAGCGGGAGAGCATTCGGGAGAGCAACAAAGCCGGCGGACTAGGGAGCATTCGGCAGAAGAACAGAGGCTTCGGCGCCAACATCGCGAAGCAATGGTTCTCAATGACGGAACACGACCCCTGGGCCGGGAAGACATTATTGAGCGAGACGCATCTCCTCCAGCATGACGTTGTGATGCGTGTAGGCGGGAAGCATATATTCAAACACGCGAGATGACACCTAAAGGTAGTCTGCGGACGGGAGCCATGCACAGCTGGATGGTAATGGTGGCGAGAGATGTTTATATAACAACTGTGAGGTCCGTCTCCCCTCGTCTTGGAGGGATATCAGCTCGTCTGACGCGAATGCAGTAGCAAAGGGACTGGGCGATTCTGGCGACACCAGCTTGCGCTCGTGCATTGCGTACTCTTCTTTACGCAAGCAGAACAAGGG